CCCACACCAGTGCCTAAGGTCGGATGCCTCCCCGTGGAGAAAGGAACCGGACCAGTCACTGCAAGGCTGGCAAGTTGCAACCTTCAGCATTCGACCGTGCCCGTTAATGTAAATGGGTTCCTGGCAAGGAAAGGAGTGCCAGACGCCACGCTCAGTGTTGCCCCGACTGACGCCAGGATGGTCACGTGATCGATATAGTGTGACACGTACCGGTTTGTCGTCAGGTCAGGCTGGGCTTCATTTGCATGACGCTCCCGCGAGCAGTCACGTCAACGGACCACTTACTCCCGCCTCATTTGGGCAGTGTTCTGCCTTTTACATAGTAATAGTTCCACTAATATTACATGCATTCTTATTTTACGTGCGGGACGTTTCGTTAGCAAGTCATTCCGTATACTATCCTTGCTGTTCTACTGACTTTTTCATTCGGCGTTATATGCGTGCCAGTGTGGCGTCATGTCTGGTCAGTAGGACCAGTTCCTTTAAGTCATCACCATGTACTGATCACTGATCAGCCCTGATAAATCAGCACTCAGCAGTGATCCGACAACACCAGCTCAGGTCTTGCCGGTGCAGTCGAGTCCTGTACTCGGCTCTGCATCAACCCGTCCGTCTGTAGTCCTGCACCACTCGGCTGGGGAGTGACCATGGACGGCGGCTGCCAGCCTGGCCGGTCTCTCCGGCCCGGCGGCTGACACGCCGATCCAGCGTGCTTGTTGGACAGCTCAGGCCACAGTGTTTGTTTGTGGTCGGTACGGGGCCGCGCCCCTTTGTTGGACCACTCCGCCCCTTTGTTGGACCACTCCCTGCAGTAGGTGGCACGGCGGGTCCGACGACTCGGGGAGGCTTCTGGACGACTGCTTGGAATGAGACAGCGGAGACAGAGCTCTGGGTTGTTGACTTGTGATAGTAGCGTGCGGCGAGTTTTGTGCCTGGAGTGTTTTGCTAGCAGTCACTTGGGCTATGCCTTCTGGTGGTCGTTGCTGTTACTGACCGGTCCGGCCTGGTGACTAGGGTCTGTCCATATGGATGCTAAACGCCCGGCCCGACGCGACCGACCAAGGTGATCAACATTCAGCGCCGCACCCTGCACCCCCCCCCCCCCCCCCACCCCCACCCGGTCCGTCTCCGCCCCAGCCTGTCAGTGGCCTGGAGACAGCGACTGATTATGGCTGGACAGGGTACTGCCCTGTCCTGACGTGTGACTCCAGGACTCCAGCCGGCCGTGCTGAGGGGGTGATGCTCTCGATGGGCACTGCGTGTCGGCTGGTGGGTCAGACTGGGTACTGCTACAGTGCTACAGCATCCCTGCTGGTCACACAGTAGGTACTCAACATATACATCTCACATCTTACATACATCTTCAGTCAGACACTGTCCCAACGCTACTTGTAGTGCTTCGTCAAAACATACAGCGTCAGATATGATGGAGTGGCTAATTTTGAGCATCATCATGTGCTCTGGAGGTAAAGGCGAGAGGACGCAGATCAGATACGCTGCTAGTGCTGTCTGCTTTCGCATTGTTCTAGTGCAGCCAAGTTTGTGCTGTAGTGCCGTTCATCCGTTCTACCCAGCTCAGTGCGAGTCAGCCATGTGGAGTCTGAGTCAATCTGGAGACTTATAAGAACCGTGACAAAAACACTGAGCTGTTGGCGTGGTGGCACTGGCCTCCTCTCCCTGACCCGGTCCCGGTTACGTGGTCTGTCATGGAGGGATGTGATCCGGCCTGGATAATGCCACTGGCTGCTGTAGTATATCTACTCTGTGATGTGCCCATTGTTGCTGACTGACCTGCAATACTGAAGCACATTTATAACAGGTGTAATAGTAGCTTCAGGGCAGTGATGGAGCTCGCAGCCGGTGGTCCTGTGGACTCGGATCGCGTATGTGCCGCACGCATGCCGAACGGCCTCGCGGACAGTCTGCAGTTTGTCCTGCAGGGCAACTGCGAGGCAGCTCGCCGCCTACTTAGGCTTCTCACATGTTATACTGATTAATGTTTTCTTTGTTGTCGCACAAGCGATGCTGAATAAATATGATGATGATGATGATGAATATACATATACGGCTCGTGATGTATTCAAATGCGGCTGTGTTCGACGCTTTAGTAAGGAAGGCCTGGTTGTAGGGACGGATCCTGACAGCGCGCCCGCCGTCCTGGCCGCGGCTCGCAGTACGTGACATTGGCCGCCCCTGGCCCCGACCGCAGGTAGGGGAGGGGGTCAGTGGTCATGTCACGTGGGGGGGGGGGGGGGCTCTGGCCGACGTGGACGCTGGCGCCGGCACTATTTTCTGGCCGGACTATTTTCAGGCTGTCGCGGCGCCCAGCGGCAGGCGGGTCTGTCACCGATCCAAGGACCAGGGCGGGGTCCGGCGGCGACCCTGCTGACCTCGACTGGGCACGAATGGGCACCACAGGCCGAGACTGATACAATTGTGATCCAGGCTGATCTCGGTGGACCTCTATGAACCTCGACGGACCGGAGGACCTCGAATGACCCTGAATGACCCCGTCTGACCTCAACTGACCCAGACTGATCCCGTCTGATCCAGACTGACCGAAGAACTCCGATTGACCCTGGCTGACCTGGCTGACCTTGGCGGCCGTTGTAGCTCTCGAGGGTCCCCTGACGTCGGACCTGGCTGCTGCAGCTGACGACCTCTGGCCCCTGACCAATGACGGCGTGCGGTAGTCGCATCGCTCCGGCTCGGTGGTGACTGGTGACTGCCGCTGTCTATGACCCGGGTGGTCCGGTCACAGCCAGGCACCTAGGTTGCTGGTGGTGTCGATCGATTGGCAAGGTCAAGGCATATTTTTGCACCCGGTCGCCAGCCCTTCGTCTGTGTGTTGGAAGTTGAAGGGGATGTGTGGACTTCCAATTCACACTCAATTCCTCCCACACGCCGGCGGCTAGCGAATTTCTCTGAGGACCATCACCATCAGACATGGTCAGGGAAACCGCGCAGCTCGCAGGGTTCGGGAGGGCAGATTGGTACACTTTTTCTGTTGTTACAAGTGTTACAACGCATCCCGTCTCTCAGTTCCGCTCTATCTCAGTCTGTTCACTACGATATCAGCTCGCCTCGCTCTCCAGCACTACTATAGGACCGGCGCTGTGGTGCTGCGGCTCCTCCGTAGGAGTCTGATGGAGTCCGGTGGACTCAAGTCAGTGGAGTCCGTTGGAGTCAACCCGGTGCGATTAATGGGGTTCGCTCGGGCGTCACAGCGATGGGCCCGTCGCCAGACCGACACAGACCTCCTCTGTCCTGACTGCCCTGACACGGAAACTCGGGGACCGGCCCCGCATCTCTGAGATCCAGCTGGTAATAATTATATGTCAAATGAAAGAAATGTAGTTCTTTAGATGCAAGCTATTTGTGTCATTCACTCGGCCTTCAATGTTGTTTGACATTGCTTGTGGAAAAGATGATATATCATGGAGCGCGAATGTCGGACGAAGGGAAGGAATGACCGGCGCTGACCGGATTGGCTCCGTCTCACGGACCTGTTCGTTTTAGGATGAGTCACACGCTGGTCAGCACGTGTCTGTTCGTCCATGATCACGGTGACGCCCTCTGTCCACTGCCCACGGACAGTTGCTGAGTGTCGCAGACGACTGATATCCGTTTCTGATTGCTGCTTTCCGCTGGCAGCGAGTTGTGTCCATTGTTGGCGGTGACTGACGGCTGCCGACTGCTGATAGTTATTGTCGGCTGCTGACTGGTGTCTGCTACTGACGGTCATGCTGACGGCTGTCCGCTTCTGGCGACTGCTGACTATCACTGTCCGCTGCTGATGACTTCTGACGGCTGACGTCCGCTAGCCTGTCCCCTGCTGAGGCCTGCTGACTGACAGCTCTGACGATGATGGACGGTCGCTGACGGTTGCTGTCGGCTGCTGATTGCTACTGGCGGCTGCTGGCTGCTGTTTGACGGCTTCAGACAGCTGATGTCCGCTGGTCTGTCCTCTGCTGAAGGCTGCTGACTGACGCCTCTGGCGATGATGAACTGCTGTTGACGACAGCTGGGCGGGTGTGGCCGCCGCCGGTGACGACCGACGCTCCGTCACGTCGCCACCGACAATTTATCAGTGTGACGGGGACGTGCAGCCATCGACAGCGACCATTTATTGCAGGGCAATCGGGCGTGCTCGAACCGGCCTCGGCCGTGTTATTTATGTGCCCCCGGGGATATTTTCGTCAGCATCTCTAGATGCATATTCAAGCGATGCTCTAGGCTGAAGGACGAAGGTGTCGAGCTAAGGGGTACCAAAAGGCCTTTGTCTCGTTTGACGTAATCAACTCGTTTTCTCGCCTCGGTGTGACGTCTGACTGGTGTGACACGTGTGTCACAGACCGGCCCTGTTGACAGTACTTTCCGTTAGGTATGACTGGTGCTAACGGGTCAGGAGAAAGGATAGACACCCCACGGACACGGGACATGAATACCGAGCTGGCTAACGGCACACAAAACCGGCTCAGTCTGTGTCCGTATACAGAAAAACACAGGGTGACTAATTGGAAAACCGGGACGGTGACGGATTCGACGACACGCGATCTCACCTACTGCCGGTAGTTGTGCTTCACCTTGGGCGTCCTTGCTAACTTCTAAGCCTACCTGCATATGAATCAGTACATTACGCCAGTCTGGATATTAAGATCTGCTGAGCCTGCTTCTGACGCGGATCGCCAGAGTTGGATCCTTTTTTATGGCGGTGCTAATTGTAGGTGCCCCGCCATGAGGATCTACTGCCTACTGCGTTAGCCTGCTACCTAAGTTACTTCGTGTACTGTTGTTACGAGCATCTCAACGCCTGCGGATCTGTTGTTCAGTTGCAAAAGATTTTCCACGAGTTTCATTGGTCAAAGGTCATATCGATTGTTTATTTGTTCAGCCTCTCCTCACGTTCATTCATTGAACCTGCCCTCCACGGCAGCCGAACCGTAGCTAGCGCTGTGGCGAACAACTCTGAACTAACAGTTTTCTCCTTTTCCCGACAGATGGCATGACGGGCGTGCCGTTTGTGGACGCCAACATGCGCGAGCTGCGCCTGACGGGCTGGATGAGCAACCGGGGCCGGCAGAACGTGGCCAGCTTCCTGACCAAGGACCTGGGACTGGACTGGCGGCTGGGCGCCGAGTGGTTCGAGTCGCAACTGGTCAGTGGAGGGGGGGGGGGGGGCGTTTTGGGTCGCAAGCGAGTGAGTGTGGGGGGGGGGGGCAGTGGTTCGAGTCGTAGCTGGTCAGTAGAGGAGGAAGTGGTGACAGAGTCGCAGAGCTGGTCAGTGATGGGGGGGGAGGGGGGACTGGACTGGCGGCTGGGCGCCGAGTGGTTCGAGTCGCAGCTGGTCAGTGGGGGGGGGGGGGTAGTTTGTGTCACAACTGGTATGTGGAGGGGGAGGGAGAGTGGGCTGGCGGCTGGGCGCCGAGTGGTTTGAGTCGCAGCTGGTCATTAAGGCACTGGAGGGGGTTGCATGGTGGTGAAGACTGCTTGTCCAGCGTCTCTTGACTTATCGCTGTCGTTGGTCGGTCTTGTTTCCTTGTTCCTCTGTTAACGTGCCAGCCAATAAATATGACCATTTGTCTTTCAGTTGGACCACGACGTGTGCAGTAACTATGGCAACTGGAACTACTCGGCCGGCATCGGGAACGACCCGCGAGAGAACAGAAAGTTCAACATGATCAAACAGGCCATGGACTACGACCCGCAGGTACTTATCTGCGTCCTATCCAGAGCTCTCGACATTTTTCATTCGACTATAGTTACATAAGTTATGGCTTGCTCAGGCGCTCGCTGATTACATTTTCTGTGACTGATGACTATGCAATTATGTATGTTTGCTCTATGTTCCCAGGGCAACTATGTCCGTCTGCGGGTGCCGGGACCGGTGACTGTGTTTGTTCTATTCTCCCAGGGCATTATGTCCGTCAGTGAATGCCGAAGTGACTACGTTTGCTTTATGTCCACCCAGGGCGACTATGTCCATCAGTGGGTGCGGTCAGTGACTATATTTGTTCTCTGCTCCTAGGGCGACTACGTCCGTCAGTGGGTTACGGAGCTGCGCTCGGTACCGGACGGCCGGGTCCACATGCCGTGGACGCTGACACCGTCTGTGCGCCGGGACATTGACTACCCGCAGCCCATGGTGCGCGCTCCCGAGTGGCAGCGGCACGTGCCCGGATCAGCGGTAGGTGGCGGCACCTGTACTGCCGGCTCAATCCTCTCAGTCTCACTGGTTTGAATACCTTTCCACTAGGCACTAACCCACATTCACTCACTGATTCTGAACTATATCACCTTTTATCAGTGTAATTGATTCAAACCGCACCATGGTGCAGTCAGCCAATGGGATCGATCGTTTGACAGTTTCACCTTAGAGCGACATTTCTTGACAATGCAGACTCCTAATGCCCCATGCTTATCCAGCATGTGTCTCCCATGCATCTGGCTAGTCTCTTAACTTTGGAGCCATCTATGAGAAATCTGGCTCTAATCGTAGTGTCTGTTGTTGTGCTATCTGTGCTAAGACTGTGTGCAATGTGTGTCTGATCGTATTTTGTTCACAGGGACCTGGGGGCCGCGGCGGCGGTAGTGGCAGAGGCGGCAGGGGCGGCGGCGGCAGAGGTGGGGGCCACAGGGGCGGCGGAGGGGGCGGTCCGGGACGCGGCCAGCGGCGCGGCATCGACTTCTACTTCAGTAGCTCAGCGAGCGGCGACGGACGGAGGTAGCGGAATGTGGGGTGGGGAGACAAGCGGTGGACGGTAGGACTTAGGAGCCGGGTGGGATGGCGGACCGGGCTGAACGGATGGCAGTCTAAACATTGACGGCCGGCAGTGAAACGGCGACGGCGTTCGGAAGCGGTTGTGCGTAGTGGCGTATGACTCTCGGTGCTTGTGTTACTGCGGATGCCCAGAATCTGGGTTTTTGAGTGATGTTAGATCTGCTGCTGGTTAACAGTTCTCAACTCAGGGTTCGTTACACCTCATCGTTTTTACAAAGCCTTTTATCAGTTTTACACGCCCCCAGCAATTATGCTGTCATCTCGAGTCTCCGTGCACGTTTATAAGATACATATATTTGACCGTTCTTACAGTAGACAGCGTTGTTTTTTACATTTACAGAACATTTTATTATGCATATTAACAACCACGTTCTTCCTGAGTTATTATAGTCGCTGAATGTTTAGAGGTGGTGTGTGCACTCAGTGTGCAGCTGTGGACGTCCGTCCATTTTTCTCTCTTGAAAAGACAAAATGTCAATGCCCGTAAACGGTGGTATGTAATACGTACCAGGATGCCGTTGGGCGTGATGATTGTTGCTGTTGTGCTGGTGTCGAATCATGACGCTCATGACGTGATGAAGCATTGAATAAAGCATTGACTACTATTCTCTGAACGGTTAACTGTACCTAAGATACACGGGATGATTCTCTGTGCCAGGACCTCAACTAATGGATAACTAGTGGATAACGCGGATCCGCAGTCTCCCTCTCGACCACCACCACACAGTCTGATGAAGAAACAACACGATATAATATGGCAAAGACACTGTATTGTCACGTAAATACGTTATGCGGCCACCTGGCCATCCCTGTTAGTCTGGCCCTCCTACAACACACTGTGACACACGGCCCATGAATCGGGTCAGACGGACGATCACACCCCCCGACGACCTCCCACACACGCGTCTAAACGGAGCTCGGCAGCCGGCCGTGGAGTGACATTGGTAAATACGGCGTACACTGCTACTGGACGACGAGGTGGCACCACTGCATTATTATCACCTCACTTCACACTATTTTGTGTAAACGATTGGACAGAGCGGCCCTGCTCTTAGCCATCACAAATGGAGGCGGGAATCGCTGCCAGTTCGGCAGGGTAGTAAACACTTAACAGGTGACCTGCCAGCGACCTCGTTTGACCTGCCCTAGCTGTAAACAGCTGAGGCTGACCTAGCCTCTCGAGCCTAACTCAGAGTTGGACCAGCTTTGACTATTTCGGACCATTTGAATCATTTCGTTTGACGAACAATATAAATCTCCCGTCCGGACTTGGAGACTTGGAGTTCAGGGCTGAATATGACCCCCATGGAAGACAGCTGGATGCTGATTTGTACATGGGCGTGCATGTTTGTACTGAGAGTTGAAATGTGGTCCACGCATCTACAGGCAAAGATGACCGAAGTGTTTGGTCCTTTCGAGCAGGTGCCAGCCGGCGTCTGAAGAAGTCGGGACGGCATGACATGGGAAGGCATTGGACGAATATTTGGGCGGCGCGAATATTGACTGAACGTGGAAGCAGTGCCGCATGCTGCATAGTATACATATGAAGCGGTACAAACACTATGCATAACAAATATTGTCTCTGTGGTAAGTAATAGAACCTGTAAAACACTCGTAGTGCGACACCATTGACTGATGCTAAACCTCACACACCTAGAAACGGACAGCACATGACATGCATACACCTTGGTCCCTGGCTAAGACACTAGACGGAAGACTAACACTGCTGTAACAGCTAACAAAAGGAAGACGTCATTCTTCATTGCACTTATGCTCTTCTTGGAAAAGATATAGACAAAATAACCTTCCATCGTTGGAGGCCACCATATTTCACCTATCACGATCCCCTGCACACATACGCTCCCCACACCCTCACCCTTCCCTGGACTATGCATAACATCTACTTACACCACGTCTGTACCCTTTCCGGACTATACACAATCCATACAGCTCGATTCCTGACACATCGACCAAACTGGAATGATCTCAGACTCATCTGCGTTGGCGGGCCAGTGGAAAGCCTCTACTTGGCGACCCAGTGGGACCTCCGGTCGCACTTCTTCCCCTCCTATCCTGGCGCTGCGGGATACTACTGAACCTGCTGGCGGTGAAGCTGGACGATCTGCTCCACAATCGAGGGGTCCTGCAGCGTCGAGATGTCGCCCAGGTCGTCCGGCTGGTTCGCCGCGATCTTGCGCAGAATTCGCCGCATGATCTTGCCGGAGCGAGTCTTGGGCAGACCGGGCACGATCTGAGGACATGGCGAAACTTAGGGCCTTGGGCGAAACGGTCAAACTGGGAAGGGGTGGGAACGGCGCACAAATGCTAATGGGCTAACTAGCTTGCCCACCTTCGCCAAAGGCTGCCCCATTCGGGGGTGGTCCCTAGAGTCGCCAGCCCTCCCAATGTGATACTGTATCTTTGTCCACTTGTCGGACTTTTTTGTCTATTCATATGGTTATGCGTCAGTCTGTCCAGCTGTCTGCTTTGGCGTGCGTCAAGACCTCATATTTCTTATTGAATCTTGGTGCGCACTAAGCATAAAATAGCGCACTAACACTACATTTGTCTGCACGTGCGCCCAGACACGCAGCCTCTCACCACCCACCAGCATGTGATCGGGCACGGCGTATCCGGCGATGTTGTTCCTGATGAGCCCCTTCAGCGTGTCCTTGACCTCCTGGTCAGTCACCGTGACGTCGTTCTTCATGATGATGAACGCGTACAGACCCTCGCCCTTGAGCTCGTGCGGAAATCCGACCACAGCCGTCTCGGCCACCGGCTCGTACTCGTCCTGAGGGCGATCAGAGGGTTCGCAATAGTGAGTGTCAGACGGAGGTCAGATAGCTGTTAGTCGGCAGTACGATGACTGTCAAAGTGTTCGGGGAGGAGTTCAGTGACAGACGGAAGGTTAGACAGCGGGCACACAACAGCCCGGATAGATAGACGGGACGCTCATGGCCAAGGCTGGGAATGCACGAGACTTGTGACTCGTACAACCACCATTGATTGCATTGATTGTTATGAAAAAGAAAATATATTGCATGAGAATATATCTAACGATCCCCCTCTCCTCCCACGGTCACTGACCATAACATCCTCGACCTCGGCGGTGCCCAGCCGGTGACCGGTTACGTTGATGACGTCATCCATGCGGCCGGTGATCTGGTAATAGCCGCCGGGGTGTCTGGCAACACGGCCAGTGGCGTACTCAGCGAGGGTGGGCGGCGGACAGTGGCGCACTCAGGGAGAAAGGCACAACTGGCGACTGACTAGCCAAAAATGGGCAGGGCAGCTCGCAGACACACAAAAACTGGCCAAGTGATGGCTTTAGAGTTAACACTGGCACGCTTTGCAATGCAACAGAGCATACAGCCACGGTGGGGGAGGGGTGAGGGGTGACTAGCCAAACTACTAACAAGGCAGGCTGGGGACTACAAAAAGACATTGCGCGACATCGTGCGACGCGGGCGCGTACGATAATAATGCCCATTAACTGATGGTGCTGCGGCGAGCTCTAGACTAGCAACACACCCAAAAGAGTGCGCCATGGCGGCAAATGAGGTGGTGACTACAGCTCAGGGGATCAGGCTCAGGCAGCGCATGCCGTGGTTCACAACAGACCGGCGCGTCCCCTCGACTCATCCCCACCGACCTGTGCGCGCCGTCTCCGGTGAAGTAATATCCCGGCATCGGCTTCAGGTAGGTCTCGACGTAGCGCTGGTGGGAGCCGTAGATGGTCCGCGCCATGCCTGGCCACGGCCGTTTGAGACACAGCGCTCCCATCACGTCCTCGCCAGAGATCTCATTGTTCTGTCCACGGAGGGGAGGGGTGGGTTAATAAATGGAGAGAGTCAGAGGAAGAGCAACGGACGGTTAGTGGATGGGAGGAAAGGGTAGGTCGGAGGAGGAAAATGGGCGGCTCAGTTGAGGGGTATGGAATATGGATGTATCAGAGGAGGGTTAGGACGGGTCCGAAGACAAGTGGAGGTGAATCATAAAGAGGATCAGGAAAATTGAACCAGACCAGGGTAGACGACTGAATGGAAGTCAACAGAATCGACCAGCATGACCAGAGGGTATCAAACAAACGGAGTATCACATTGCAGAAATAGTGCGCGCTCTGAGTACAAGCCGTTACGGTGATGAGGCTTTGAACTGTAGGGTGTCTATACGGGTGTCTTCGCCAGCCGTACCTTTTCATCCAGCAGGACGGGTTCGATGCCGTACATGGGCCGCATCGGCATGCCGGGCCGGATCTCGGCACCCTCGGCCGACGGACGCGGAGCCAGGCACACACCGCCCGTCTCTGTAATAGTAAGGACCCGGTCAGGCTTCGGGTCAGGTCACAGGGCCCAGAGTAGAGTCAGGCACACGCCGCCCGTCTCTGTAGGTATAGAGAGGACGTCACGTCAGGTCAGGATACGGGTCCGGTAACAGGCTGCGGCCAAGCAATGATTCTGGGGGCATAAGCCCACTGCTCAGTCTAATAGGTTTTGGCTGAACGCGACTTTAGAAAGCAAACAAGCCCATTCTTGCTAAGTAAGACAAAAGCGCGTTATGTCCAGGCGCTCAGAATACAGTTTGACTCTGAATACACACTAAACATCGGAACAGCATCTCTGTGGCTGTTTGTACCGTCACTGCATAAGATACACAGACGCCAGTAGTATCAGCTGTCGACGGAGACAGCAACGGGTTGCAACTATCCACTTAGTTCCATATCCCATCCCGGCGACCATAGTTCCTTCTGAATCTGTAACTCACCGGTCTGCCACCAGGTGTCGATGACGGAGCAGCGTTTGTCGCCGACCACATCATTGTACCACTGCCACGCCTCGTGGTTCAGCGGCTCACCGACACAGCCCAGCACGCGCAGGGAGGAGCGGTCATACCTGATGGCAGCGGGGAGAGCGTCATCGCCAGCAGAGGACAATCCGATTAGCTGTGAGGGACAGGTCCTTTATCGTGAGGATAAGCGGGCATTTCTCGTTTTTGAGACCGGTGGCACAGTGAGCGGTGAAATTGTGGAGCACAACAATCAGTTCACAATGATAACTGAGATGTGGTAACAAAACTAAAGGCACTTACGCACAGCATACAGACAGTGCAAGACCTCTGTCAGAGATCCGAGTTCAGACACGGGCAGGCTGCAGGGGTATAGCGGGTAGGTGTCAGCGAATTTTGACTCACTTTGTGACCCAGCTGTCTCCGTGTTTGAGCAGCAGTCTCAGTGCCGTGGGCGCGCCGTAAAAGTGGGTCGGACGCAGCCGCTGCACCATCTCCCAGTACCGGCCTGCCGGGCACAGACAGAAGTCATGTAGATACGAGACATCGATTCGATACATACGATCCCGGCCAGTAGTGACTTGAATATATACACACAAGCATCGTACCTGGATCCAAATGTATGGCGCCAATACCGACCTGGGTCCGGGTAGAATGGTAGCAGGAACTCAACTGACCCCGATCCAGGAAGACGTATAGGGCTTCTAGTCTACTGGTCTAGATCTCGGTAAACAGCAGTTTCTACTAGCCTGAGTACAAGTAGACTGGTCGAAGCTCTACTGACCTGAGTACGAGCGGACTGGTCGTAACTCTACCGACCTGGGTCCGGGTAGACGGGCAGGGTTTCTGCTGACCTGGGTCCGGGCAGAAGGTACGTACTCTACCGACCTGGGTCCGGGTAGACGGGCGTGCTCTCGAACATGATGGCCGTGCCGCCGGTGGCCAGCGGGCCGTACACCACGTGACTGTGACCGGTGATCCAGCCGATGTCGGCCACACAGCCGAACACGTCGCTGGGCCGCAGGTCAAACACTTGCTGCCGACAGGGGACGGGGGACGCAGGGTCAGACACACAGCGGAACAGGTCGCCGGGCCGCAGGTCGAACACTTGCTGCCGACAGGGGACGGGGGACGCAGGGTCAGCTATGTCGCCGGGCCGCAGGTCAAACACTTGCTGCCGGCAGGGGCGGGGGACGCAGGGTCAGCCACACAGCGGAACAGGTCGCCGGGCCGCAGGTCAAACACTTGCTGCCGACAGGGGAAGGGGGACGCCGGGTCAGCTATGTCGCCGGGCCGCAGGTCAAACACTTGCTGCCGACAGGGGAAGGGGGACGCCGGGTCAACACACAGCTCAACACGTCGCCGGGCCGCAGGTCAAACACATGCTGCCGACAGGGGAAGGGGGACGCCGGGTCAGCCCACAGCTCAACACGTCGCCGGGCCGCAGGTCAAACACTTGCTGCCGATATGGTAAGGGGGGACAGGGAACGCAAGGTCATCAACTAGCTCAGAAGGGTCAACAGCGGGATCAGCACACATTTCCGCTCCGGATACCCACACCGATTCACCGCCATCAGAACGGACGGCGATATGTGAGGTCACAACAACCAATATGCTGTCACAAGTTTGTCTTATTTTCATGACTCAACACACGACAAAGAGATTTAAGTGGCCACATGCCACCAACTGCAATGCCAGTCATAGAAAAAAACAAGGCCCAAAGTTCGCTATTATTGTTAATTACACCACTATCACCGCTTTCTTACCTTGCTTGTCCGATGGAGTTCCCATCAGTGGGCAATGGGCTTGTCTACAAACGGAGGACGCAACCATACAGATATATCAGCGCCGTCACAACACCCAACGATAGTGAGCATTCATTTGTCTAATTCATTAATTTGTCCGCCGTTTGTCCGCTGGCCGCGGTACCGACGCCGAGTGTCGTCTCAGGAGCGCCTATCGGGATCAGCACCGCCCAAGATGATAGTTGGCCGTGGCCGGTGGTTCTCTGTGGCCAGATACCTCGTGAACTTCTTTCAGAAGTAGCACACTCTCCTTTTCCAACGATGCTGACGGAAAGGTGCCAAGCGCGGCCCTGATATTGGCCTTGAGCCCGTGAGGCAGCATTTGCAAGTCATCCGTCTTCAGACTAGTGTTTGTAAGTCTACCGGCCCGCCCTGCTGGCGGTTTGAATTTGAACGGCCACACAGACTGATTCCATGTCTGGCCTCTGGGCGACCGGACACGGACCGGGCGGCGCGGCGGGCTGCAGTCCCCAGCGGCCACTGTTTATAGGGCCGGCGGTGCCGATCGGGGCATGGCAGGCGTGGCACCGGACTGCGGTCGGAAATGATCCCAAAATTTGGGGTGCTGACTCAGAGGTGTTTACATCTGGGTCTGCACTCTGCAGTTATAATCTGGTGGTCCAGTATCTGTCGAGCCCCCACCAATGTCGATTTTGAGGCCATAACACCGCCAGAGGTCCCCGCTCGTGATTTCACGGAACCACAGTGATAACAGTCATGGAGCGTACTGACTGCCACGGTATATGGAGAACTCACTGACTACTCAGCCCCTCGTTATTTTGCATATTTCAACTCCACCTGTTAGCTGCCAAAGCTGGTACTTCTAACGCCGATGAAGTTTGGAAAGGTGCACAGATCCCCCCCCCCCCCCCCCGTCCGCCTCATGAAAGCATACAGTCGGCTCACTGCCCAGTGACCATATCAGGCCGCCGGCCGGTTTGGGTGTGTAAACTATTGCATACCAGAGCTTGCACGCACCGATCAGGTGCTCAGAGGTTCATTCAAACACAGACAAGTTGGTGGGCGCGCCGGCCAAAGCCGGTCAAGGGCACGACTTCCCCCCCCCCCCCTCATCCCCCCTACACACACATGAACTGAAAGTTGCAGCCGGAGACACCGTCCGTTATTCTTCAGAGCGAGGTGGTAGCGGACAACAGGTAAATCCGACTTAGGTGATAACTGAGCAAGTGACTGAGGGAGCAATTATATGCAGTTTTTATCGACTCAAGCATCGGCTCCTGTCAGTAACATTCTCAGCCGAAGCTAATACCAAGAGCCGCAGTGCCATGGCCGAGTGCGTTTGCTTGTTGCTAAGTGGTAGGTACTGACGTCAAACTGTTCAACTTGATGTCGATGAGTGGATACTCCAGCGTCGAGTGCCTCCTCAAAGTGTGTTTGCATAGTGATAGGTTAGTAAGTGCGTCAAGAATCAGAATTGCTGGCAGTGCGACACAAATCCCAATATCTGCCGCTATTTCGGGAATATTGTGACGAGATGTGACCGACCAAAGGCCACTGTCCTGCACTCATAATAACAAGGACCAGTCAGTTTCGGCCAGGGTCAGGCTGGTTTGAGCCCGTACTGCTGCTGTAAAAAGCTCAGAGCAGGCTGCATTTCCCTTCTTCGCCCGTTCAGCCGACGCCGTGTCATGACCACTCTCCGCATCTCTGCGTCTTTCTCATCTAGCCAACCGACCAATCTCACACACACCGAACAGCACCACTCTGAAGTCACATTCAGCTGGGCGGAACACTGGGTCATCACGGTCAGAGTATAAGGGTCAGCTGCCCCGCATTTGCCGCTGTTGGTGACAACTGACAGCGGGGCGCTGATCTGGGCGTCAGAGTATGAGTGGAGACGGCTGAGCTCTATAGAGGGCCGGTGAGTGCGGTCAGAGGTTGATTGTTGCACAACTCGGGCAGGTCGGCGACCTCGCGCCGCCCGCTACCACCGCGGCTAGCCGCTCGGACGGCGCGGCGCGGCGGTGGGAGCTGCTCCGTTTGGACGGGTCTGGTTCGGTTGGGGCGGCACAACGAAATAGAATGGAGGAAACAGCCATGATAAACTGAAAGCGCCCTCCAGCACATATAAGACAGACATCAGTGCTGGCAGGGGATAGAAAGAGAGCCAAGGGAAGCAAGCTCCAGAGTAGAAAGAATAGAGGACTTTCCAGCAGGGCGATGGAGGACGGCCCAGAGAAAATCGGATGGGATCACCAATCAAGGTGCTAAAGCTTCGCTGTTCATTCGAGAGTCTCCGTATACCACGACACGCCCTAACACTGTGCAGCAGCAGCCTCAATTCAGCCTCATCAATTCACAATAAATGATAGTTTTATCGAGATCACCGGAATCCTCTAGGCTCCTCGGCAATCTCAGTAAGTGCACAGCGATTGTGCAAACACAGACGCAAGGTACCTCGGCCCAGATAGAGACTGTCTAGACTATCGGGGCTTTGTTGTGACGCCCTTATCAAACAAATTAGACACATTAAAACCAGGAAAAAAACGTAAAATTGCGATTCTGCACATACAAGTTTTAACGAACAAGTTCCAGTTCAATCATCCGATATTCAAAGGCACTAACATCGGTAATGGGAAAAGCACCAGAATAAACAAAACCGTAATCGCACAATTCTCACTTCTCGGGATGTCCATTGAATCAACAATTTTGCAACGTTATCAGGTTTACTCCCGTTACGTTCGTGTAGACGGTGTTAACCCTACCGTCGACAAAGTCTGGAATTATGGCGCGGTCATACGGGTTATCAATGCAGACAGCTGCTATCTAGGCGTCTGTCTGCTCTACTGTATGTTTGGTTCATGTAAGACCGTATAAAGGGGTATATGGATGTTTGCTGTCGCCTTTATCGCATGATCATTGATCACGCTGACATGTTATGACCGTGGCCTTTTGGTCATGGTAGACGTCCCAATGAGGCCTGCACTACTCCGTTGGTAAAGTAAATGTAATATGCATGTCTCTCCGGGCTGCGCCATTGGTGTGTGGTTGAGCGCCCGATTGACTGGAATTAGTGTCCGGCCAGGTAAGCCTGTCGGTGCTCTAGACACAGTCCTATCATCCTCACTAAGCCCGTCCTGTTGGGCCCGGCTCTCCTGGGCTGTTCGGTATCGTTCGATATATCATCCCTTGACGACACGGTGCCACAGCGACATTAGATGACGCCTGCTGACAGCAGTGAAACTGACAAGGCCCACTCTGACCGTCGGTCGCGCGTCTCCGTCAGGTGGGGCTGCGGTGTGGCTCCACAGCCCGGCCAGCGTGGAATGACGGCACCACAGCCACAACAAACGAGGAAAACAGCCATAGCGGCCCGGACAGGAACGACTTTCCTTGTAGATTCATACAAGCAGAGAAATATGGTCCAAATGGCACCCCTCACAGCGGTCGTGGCCGAGTGGTTAAGGCGTCTGACTAGAAATCAGATTCCCTCTGGGAGCGTAGGTTCGAGTCCTACCGACCGCGCTGGCTCTTTCTTGCGACCTCTCGTGACCCACGAGGTCACGGACCTCACTCACCTTTTGCGTGAACATACAGTAGAGCAGGTATCCGGCGACGCTGTGCACCAGGCCCTTGGGCTTGCCTGTGCTGCCCGAGGTGTACAACATGTAGAGGAAGTCCTCGGCGTCCATGGCGGCAGGTTCACACTCGGCGGGGGCCGCCTCCATCGCCTGGGGGCACGCACAGACCGGCAGTTGTGAGAATTGATGACGGGAATGGGGGCACTGTTGAGCGGCACACGAAAGCGAACAACTGAAGGCGCACTACAACACAGTGCTTTTGTCTGTTGAAATAATGTTGAAGAACACAGAAAAGGTGGGGGATGTCAGAAAAATGGTCACCCCGGCCTTTCCCCATCCCTATAGCATTGTCCATGGAGCAGAGGGAAGCATGTAACTAAAGAGGGACCAAAGATCACCCTCTCGTGTGTTTTCATTGGTCGCCACGTCCGTCTATCCGAGCTACCCGGATACTCCCTCCCTAACTGCTCGGGGCATCCCGGTGCAGTAGATGTCTGGCAGACCAGCGGGAGGCCGCTGCCAGCGACCGTTTTTACCGAGCGTTTTACCGCCGCTATACCAGCACTCTCACGTCGAGCCCGATCCGAACGCCCGCCTCACGGTGAGAAGGTTACGAAAGACCGCCAGTTTTTGCGTCCCAATGTTTTTGCAGTTCCAACACCACAACCAAGGCCTCTTGACTGACGAAGGGGCCAGCTGAGAGGCTTTCACCTGCAGCACTACCCGTGGTATACCCATGTTGGTGAGATGACTACAGCTGTCATACCGCGATATACTCGTACCTTGCATACTCGGGACTGAACGGATAAACTGAGCGAATATGATCACTATTCCCAAACACAGACAGAGCTCACAAGTCACATGTTCTTTCATGTTACCCTGACCCTCCCCGTACCTTTTCCATCGGGATGTCGATACCGGAGAGAGGCACCTCTGCGCCGGTCCTTGTGGCCACAAACACCCGTTTGACGGACGGGCACTCCCGCACGGCGTCATCGACAATACGCTTCAGTTCGATCACCTTGCCGCCGCGCACCGCCTGGTCACTGGTGATGATTGTCTCCGCGCCGGCTGGAAGGGACAGGGTCGGGTCAGAGGTCAAAGGTTACGTGACGGGGTCAGGGGGGGGGACAAAGAGGTCAACGGGAGGAGGCGAGAAGTCATAGAGAAAAGGTATTCGGAGGTCGCTGAATAAAATTGAAAATCAAACGAAATCACAGAAGTCAGCGACTCCATGAAAGAAGTCACAGGTGATAGGGGGAGGTCAGAGGGCAGCAACGATTAGTCAAATAGCATACTATCACATTATCACAGACCAATGACGAAGGGAAATCGGACTTCGGAGGGTTGGGATTTGAGAAGTGGCAGGTCGACTCATGGCAACATACATGAGCTTACGGGAGGCTGGAGGCATCCGAGAAAGGTTAGAGGTGCGTAATAGCATTCCCACTTGGGTCAAGTGTCATGCCAACTGTCATTATTACGTCACAGCCCAATCGTGAATGGGAACAAATCACAAGTTGTGGCAGTGGCAAACCGAGCACACCCTCACCGCCGAGCGGTCGTGGCCGAGTGGTTAAGGCGTCTGACTAGAAATCAGATTCCCTCTGGGAGCGTAGGTTCGAGTCCTACCGACCGCGGCACGGTTTTGGTCAGAGTTACGAATGCCGAGGCAACCGTTGCAGTCGAGCCTGAAGTGTTGACTCCGTGAGCGCACAGTCGGTTACCGTACCATACGAGTGATGACTGAGGGTGACAGGCTATGCTTTTTGACGGGAACAGTGTTTGGATGTAACTAAGGATGATCATTGATCAGCGGTACTTACCATCGAGCACGCGGCTGGCGAGCGCCTGCGCGCTGAATCCGGCAAAGACCACCGAGTGGACGGCGCCGATGCGCGCGCACGCCAGCATGGCCACGGCGGCCGCCGGCGAGGTGGGCATGTAGATGGCCACGCGGTCTCCGCGCCGCACGCCGTGCTGGAGCAGTGCGGAGGCCAGCCGGCCCACCTGGTCGTACAGCTGCCGGTAGGTGATGCGCTGCTCGGTGCCCGGCTCGTCCCGCTCCCAGATGAGCGCAGTCTGATCGGGAATGGAGCGCATGTGCCGGTCCACGCAGTTGACTGTCACACACAGCAACAGGTGGGTTCATACTGTCTGAGTAGTATCACACTCATTCACGAATGTACATTGCGCATCACAGAGATGGCCAATGCAACATACTGGTTCAAAAGAAAGGTGCAAACAGTTCATACCTATAGATAGTTGTAGAACCTGGAGATAGTTGAAAACCCAAACTTAAATTGGCCCATGGTGATGGGCATAATACCAAGTTGATAAATATAAAATTCAGAACAAATGACAATTGATTAAACAAAATGGTAAGGGGACTCCAAACTTGTGTGAAAACTATTCTGAAAATAATAATTTTCTTAACTGTGAACAGAATTCAAGCGTGCATTCAACTGGCAGAAATATGTCCAACACAGCACACCTAAAATATGCATATGTATATTACATACAAACATGGCCTGTTATGAATGTTGCTATCCCATGCAGGGCATTGTCTGTGACCATACAAAAAGTTCTGTGGTTAACCCGGCCGGGCCCGGGGGGTAATCCCAACCACCGCAGCCCGGGGGGGGGCGTTTTTCGCCCCCCCCCCCCTGTCTAACTCCGTAAATAAGGGAGCTACGCAAACAAAAGCGATACCAAACGAAAGGTCCTTACGAGACGATTCTAGGGCACCTAAAATTTTTGACCTCAGGTCAATTTTCAAGGTCAGAGGTCAAGGTCAAAGGCAAAAACCGGCACATGTGTAGTGATCTCAAAGTAAGCCTTCTAGAGAACGGCAGGATGCATCAAACCGGCAAAATTGGGTGTCAAACGAAAGAAGAGAATCTGAGGATTCCGAAAATGTGCTCATAATCAAAGGTCAAGGTCAAGGTCACGCCCAAAATTGACCTCAAACTTTGCACTTTTTCGTACATCTTGCGTGCTAACTTCCAAAATGTTTTGAAATGTTTTGAGGCTTATCTAACTTACTATTCAAACAGAATCCGTCTGTGAGTCTGTGAGTCTGTGTGTCCGCACATCGTGTAGTGGGTTCAATTTGTTACGGCTACAGGGCAGACGGTTTGTTGTAGGAGGTTGAAATTTGCACACCTTCTAGGTGATAGAGCGGGTCAGCGCCTTTTCTAGGTTTCCACTCGCTGGGGTGCACGGTTCGCGCGTGGCGCGCGCTGGAAGAACGCCAATGGAATTTTGATCGGTTCGTAGATCTTCATTGAGAGCCGGGGTCGACAAACTTTGTGGACTAAATGCATGCCGATCGGTGGCGGGTGCCTCGCATTGGCGGATGGGCAAGTTTTTAATTTGAATGAAAAGTGGCGAGGGAATGTGTTGATTGTCGCTAAATGGGTACTGTTTGTGATAGGAATCAACAAATGCACCGCATTTGCCGCAAGGCGTCACATTGGTCACAAGGCGTCATTTTTGCCGCACATCGCACAGTTTTGTCAAATATGGTCCGATAAAGGTACAATTTGTTGCCAGGATGCATGCTCAACCAACAGGTAAGATGCGCCGTGTTTGCCGGAATGCGCAACAATTATCTCAGGGCTTCATTTTTGCCGCAAATCGCACAGTTTTGTCAAATATGGTCCGATATGGGTGCAATTTGGTGCAAAGATGCATGCTCAATCACCGGGTGAAAATGCACCGCGTTTGCCGTAACACGCCACATTTGTCACAAAGCGCCACTTCCGACAAAATCGATTAAGGGTAATGGAATGGCACGAATAGGAGCGGGGCTAGAAGATCTTTTAAATTCTGATTTTTAAAAACATTTATTGGATCCAATTAATATGTGACCTGACATGACCCAGTGGTAGGTAATGGTAGTGGTAGGGGTAGGGGTAGTGGTAGTGGTAGGAGGTAGGGGTAGGGATAGGGGTAGGGGTAGGGGTAGGGGTAGTGGCAGGGGTAGGGGTAGGGGTAGTGGTAGGAGTAGTAGTAGGGGTAGGGGTAGGGATAGTGGTAGGAGTAGTAGTAGGGGTAGTAGTAGGGGTAGTGGTAGGGGCAGTGGTAGGGGTAGGAGTATGGATAGTAGTAGTGGTATGGGTAGGGGTAGTGGTAGTGGTAGATGCGGTGGTAGGGGTAGGGGTAGGGGTAGTGGTAGGGGTAGTGGTAGGGGTAGTGGTAGGGGAAGGGGTAGTGGTGGAGGCAAAAGTTGAACAGTGGCCCGGGCTGATCCCATCGGACGAGAGGTGACCTTTGTGACCTGGCCTCACCCAAAGTGACCGGGGCTGACCCCTTTGACCTGTCTTGACCCCGTATCAGCCAAATTTCATCCAACAAAGGCCTCAGAACAGTTCTTTTTTAAATTCTCTTCACATATCCGTCCATATCTATGTTTCTAAACGACACATCAATTTGAATCGAATACCATTCGAAAGCAAATTGGCTGGTGCCACAATTTTTCCTACCACGCAGCAAAGCAAGTGGCGCAGCCGCTTGTCTATATTACTATTTGAGGAAGGCGTAGTTTCTGTCTATTACGAAGGTCGCGACATGGTGCTACGTAGCGCGGGTTACAGGTCACACCGTTGCACCTACCGCGCTGAAATTTGCGCAAGTTATAGAACAAGGATGGACAACGTGCCTTTGAGCGGTCTCGGCTCGATCGGATCGATAGCGAGCGCGTGGCGCGTGCCCAAAAAGTGCAAATTCGCGTCATAGACTTTACATGTATAAATCGGCTGGCAAAAACGGGCGAAAATGGCTAAATTTGCCCGACACGGGTCCGTTCCCCGTGCAATATCTCGGTAGCCGTGCGCCCGATCGGCACGGGGAAAACAGCATCGTGTAGAGAATCGAACGGGCAATCGAATAGTGTGCGGTGCAGGGGTGGCACGCGCCACGTGCAAGTGTGAGGGCAATTTCATTTCAAAAAGTGCCATTTTAGACGTATTTTGGATTTTATTTTATTTTCCCGTGACCATCAGACTGAGAGAGTTGAAACAACGTCAATTGCCAAGAGAAATGTACCGCCTCTCATGGAAAAATTGTGGACAGCTAATTGATCAAAAACAATGTGGAAAAATCGCTGAATTAAAATGGTATTTGTCCACAATGTGCCACTAAAAAGATACACGGGATTTGCTGCTTAACCTGATACGCTTGACAATTGAAAATGCTATCATTAGAAAGAGCATTCAATTCTCTCCAAGATCCAATCATCACGTTTGCATGACAAGCAACAGTATTCTTAAAAATATAAATGTTTTAAACCTCTGCAAAACGATTTTTAGCGAAAATTATCTACGCCTTTCATTTGTCTTAAAACTACGCACCTCAATTATAAAGCACATTTGACAGATTCTGAAGTGGAAAGCATGCTTATCAGACACGGGCACCTCGATGCGGTGGATATTTTTTCCACAAACCAAAACGTTTAGCCGTCAAAAAGCAATCGACCGAAATGGATAGATAACCCAACCGACACAAGAACAACCGAACACCCGCCGATCGAAAATATCCCTTTTCGCGTTGCGGAGCACACGGGCCACCCTAGTCAGTCCCCTATTTGTGGTTCATCTTACGATACAAGGCTGCTCAAAGGTCAAGGTCACAGAAGAGTATCCTTGCTAGAGGCTATTTCACTGATTCAAGTTAGTAATAATAAATAAGAAAATTTTGCCATCCAGAAGCTCTAAATGAAAGCTTAGAGGAAAATAGATGCCAGATTCGTGATCAGCGGATACAAATTCATCATGAACGACCTTTCATGTGCCAAGGTCAACCAAAGGTCATTCGAGGTCACATGAGTTCAACATAAAATTTGACCTTTTCCAAACAAAATATATATCATTCGACGCGGCTTGACAAGGCGAATGCGATGGTACCACTGCTGTAGCTCTAGGACCATTTTTGTCGAAGTTATTTGCGAAAAACTAAAACCACATTTCGGGGTCGTTGACCTGACCTCTGACCTCAGGTCACCGAAACTATTTTTCTATTTTTCTCTAGGTCAAACGCTACACAACCGTTTTCGTAATTTGTCTTTATCTCTAAAACTCTATTTTTAGCAGCTATTTGAAGTTTGCGTCTGTGACGCCGAAGTTTGCCGTGCAGGGGTTTAGAAAAATCGACCTTGTGACATCATCAAGGGGGCTAGGTCCAAATTTTTTACTACAGATGTCAAATGGATGGGAGAAAAGGTACTGAAAGTTTCGCCTTCCTATCCCTAATCGTTCGGGAGCTATCGCAAATATTCGCCCCCCCCCCCCCCCGGGGCCCGCGAGGGTTAAAGGATATGACCCATAGCTCACATTGCAGACATTTGCAAAACAATGTAGTAAAATGCTGATGTGATGATGCAGTAGTGAGTTAGACATACTTACCAGATGCATTGAGCTTTCCACCTTGAAACCAGGAGATTTTCCCATTTGGCAGGTCACAGTTTGAGACAGTGTGAAAAGGCTCCATCCATTGGAGGTATGACTTGGCTATTTCACCCCAGAACTCTGATGGCTAGAGGAACAACCATACAGGTGACTTGAGGACTTCTGGAGCAGTGCATTCCAGGCAGTGGAAGCAGCATGGCATGGTTCAAACACACATTCCAAGCAGGCAAAACAAAGCAGCATAAAACACAGGCATGAGGCCACAGTGATTACGGAGCGAGCGAAGCGAGCGGAGTCTTACGTAGAATAACGGAAATTTCTGAGTATGAGCGGCCGGCCGGCCGGCCGGCCGTGCGGACGCTTTTGCGAGGCTTATATCTCAGCAACCACTTGACCGATTTACATGCGGTAATTTTTGTAGGGTAGCTTCATTCCTTCTACCAAGTATTGGACTATTCCCGATGCATGTGGGTGACCCCTTATGCACGTGCCACGTGCAAAACGAAGAGGTGTCACTTTTGTAATTGTTGCAATATCTCGGTAACTACTTGGCCGATTGCGCTGAAAGTTGGCATGTAGGTAGGCACCCACTAGGCACTGCATATCCATGTGCCAGAGTTGGGGTGCCGCTGCACGTGCGCACGTGCAGGGGTCGTTTCCAGATCTCGAGAACGGCTCGACCGATTGCGCTCAAATTTGGTACACAGTTAGGGACAGGTTACTAGGGTGCCGTGCACAAGTCAGTTGGGACCCATTTTGCACGTGCGCACGTGCAGGGTGCCGCTTCCAGATCTCGAGAACGGCTGGGCCGATTGTGCCCAAATTTGGCACATCGCTAGAGACCAGTCAGTAGGGTGCCGTGCACAAGTCAGTTGGAGGTACCCCCTCGAAATTTCGCACGTGCAAGACTCACCCCCTCGCTCGCTCCGTTAGTCGCCCCAAAAGGCGCTATACTGGTCAGTATTAGTATATATTAGGTCCGAGTGGACAATTGTGACGCTGTTGATACAAATATGTAACAGCAAAAAATTTAGGTTTTAGGTTAGGTTAGGTTGTAGGTTTGTAGGTTTTAGGTTGGTAGGCTGGTAGGTTTGTAGGTTAGTTTAGGTTAGGTTGTAGGTTTGTAGGTTGGTAGGTTGTAGGTAAATTGAAATAGGTAAGGTTAGGTCAGGTTTGATTATGTTTTTTCTGTTATTTCCAAGACAAATAAGTATCATTTTTGGATTCAGGATGTCAAATAATGTAAGAATATGAAAACTTTATCTTTTAACAGTCACTCGGACTCAATGTATACTTTTACCCAGTGATCTCTTACAGCACACTTTAAGCAGAGCATGATATGATCAGCTCATAGCTTACATTTTCTAGGCTGAAGTCATAGATGTCTTTGTGGGTTTTGAGATGGGGATATTTCTCTGTAATCTCAGGCACAGGAGTTACAGGAGCACCCTGACTGTACTTAGAGCTTGATGAGCTCAATGCTCTGAAGCATTGCGCCAATGAATTCTGGTGTGGCTTGAAACCACAGGTCCTTGAAAATATCTTGAAATAGTTCAGCATTTTCTTGTCTTACACTGTTTGCTGGTATTGCTAACTTTCCAAAATTCAAGTGAGCACTTATATCTTCTGAAACAAAAGCACATATTGTCACAATGTCTGAAATGCATATCATGATTAGCTAATTAGGCTGCCCAGTGCTGACCATCAGACCAATTAGGCCATCATGGCCATCATCTACAACCCACAACCCTACAACCTACCAACCTAAAACCCACCATCCTATATACGGCCTTGCCACCATCTACCAACCTACAATTTACCGCGCGCACCACACACCAACACAGACGGCGCACTCCTTTGCGTCGTTTGCGTTTTGTCACCGTGGCTTTTGTTTACATTTGTTTCATGGTGTGGCAAGATTTGGAAATACAGGGAAGCCTTTATACCTGTCCAATTCTTGCATTTTATTAACCCGGTGTTCTGTGGTTCTTCAATGAGCTAATATTTTTTCTTTACTTAACTGTTCCAATTCATCTTTTGATCCTTAAAATCAGTCAGAATTTTGCATTTCACTCGATATCATTTGAAAAATACAATATTTTGTCAATAAAATCTTTCCATGAGGAGATTTGGTAGCAGAATTTTCATGTTTTCTTCATCACTAGCCATAGTACTTTTGAGCAACTTCTGAGTACTTTCTTTTGGGACTGTTATACAAATAATGTTCTTTTTTGCATCATGTTTTGTTGCACTTTTGCACAATAAATCATAGATTGATTATTTACTATCGCTTCGCTTATGTGTTTTGGGGCATGACTAAAGTTTGCGTATCACACGAAGTGTTTTGTATGGTCAAGTACCAAACAGCTTCTACAAACACGACGCAAGTGTTTCAAAATATTGACATTCTTCATATGCCATGTGCCGCGTATGAATTGAATGAATTTGAATTACGCAAATGTAACGGAAGTTAGCAGGGATTCAGAAGGGGTTCAGCAGGGATTCAGCAGGGATCGACGGCCCCTACGATTTCGCTGAATTTTGGTGGAGAGGTGCAGAATGGTGTCCTCTATCAAAAATCCTAGTGCCAAAATGCGGGGAATCCATCAGGGGGGCCACAAATCCCAAAAAACAGTATGCCCTCAGGGCACAATCGACGAACTTTGAAAACCCTACTTCTAGCCGTCAAAACAGCTAAAAATGCACGTCATTCGAAAGAGGACAAAATTTTACATGCAACGGTACCAAATTTAGGGGGCTAGCGCCCCCCTGAACCGAACAAAACAGCTTCAAATATATGGGCCCGGGAGTATGCCCTCGGGGCATAAATAAACGTTTTCAACAATTTCAGGACTATAACATCGACAAAATCCAGCAATATGCACATCATTGGAAAGAGCGTAATTTCCCAAACAAAAAACCCAAGTAACATTTTTCGATAGGGCCCACCTGGGGCCCACGGGACCCAATTGAAATTTGGGACCCAATTGGGCGGCCCCTACGATTTTCTTCAAAATTTGCACAAACACTCTCCTGGGCCCCCTCTTCAATCTGGCTGAAGAAACCTACCGGGGAATCCAAAGGAAGGGGCCCAAAGAGGGCCCCAAAGAGGCCCTTTCTAAGTATTGCCCCTAATTTCGCGACCAACCCCGGCAATATGCACATCATTGGAAAGAGCGTAATTTCCCAAACAAAAAACCCAAGTAACATTTTTCGATGGGGCCCACCTGGGGCCCACGGGACCCAATTGAAATTTGGGGCCCAATGGGGCGGCCCCTACGATTTTCTTCAAAATTGGCACAGACACTCTCCTGGGCCCCCTCTTCAATCTGGCTGAAGAAACCTACCGGGGAATCCAAAGGAAGGGGCCCAAAGAGGGCCCCAAAGAGGCCCTTTCTAAGTATTGCCCCTAATTTGGCGACCAACCCCGGCAATATGCACATCATTGGAAAGAGCGTAATTTCCCAAACAAAAAACCCAAGTAACATTTTTCGATGGGGCCAACCTGGGGCCAACGGGACCCAATTGAAATTTGGGGCCCAATGGGGCGGCCCTACGATTTTCTTCAAAATTTGCCAGATTGAAGAGGGGGCCCAGGAGAGTGTCTGTGCCAATTTTGAAGAAAATCGTAGGGGCCGCCCCATTGGGCCCCAAATTTCAATTGGGTCCCGTGGGCCCCAGGTGGGCCCCATCGAAAAATGTTACTTGGGTTTTTTGTTTGGGAAATTACGTTCTTTCCAATGATGTGCATATTGCCGGGGTTGGTCGCCAAATTAGGGGCAATACTTAGAAAGGGCCTCTTTGGGGCCCTCTTTGGGCCCCTTCCTTTGGATTCCCCGGTAGGTTTCTTCAGCCAGATTGAAGAGGGGGCCCAGGAGAGTGTCTGTGCCAATTTTGAAGAAAATCGTAGGGGCCGCCCCATTGGGCCCCAAATTTCAATTGGGTCCCGTGGGCCCCAGGTGGGCCCCATCGAAAAATGCTACTTGGGTTTTTTGTTTGGGAAATTACGGTCTTTCCAATGATGTGCATATTGCCGGGGTTGGTCGCGAAATTAGGGGCAATACTTAGAAAGGGCCTCTTTGGGGCCCTCTTTGGGCCCCTTCCTTTGGATTCCCCGGTAGGTTTCTTCAGCCAGATTGAAGAGGGGGCCCAGGAGAGTGTCTGTGCAAATTTTGAAGAAAATCGTAGGGGCCGCCCCATTGGACCCCAAATTTCAATTGGGTCCCGTGGGCCCCAGGTGGGCCCCATCGAAAAATGTTACTTGGGTTTTTTGTTTGGGAAATTACGCTCTTTCCAATGATGTGCATATTGCCGGGTTTGGTCGCGAAATTAGGGGCAATACTTAGAAAGGGCCTCTTTGGGGCCCTCTTTGGGCCCCTTCCTTTGGATTCCCCGGTAGGTTTCTTCAGCCAGATTGAAGAGGGGGCCCAGGAGAGTGTCTGTGCCAATTTTGAAGAAAATCGTAGGGGCCGCCCCATTGGGCCCCAAATTTCAATTGGGTCCCGTGGGCCCCAAGTGGGCCCCATCGAAAAATGTTACTTGGGTTATTTGTTTGGGTAATTACGCTCTTTCCAATGATGTGCATATTGCCGGGGTTGGTCGCGAAATCAGGGGCAATACTTAGAAAGGGCCTCTTTGGGGCCCTCTTTGGGCCCCTTCCTTTGGATTCCCCGGTAGGTTTCTTCAGCCAGATTGAAGAGGGGGCCCAGGAGAGTGTCTGTGCCAATTTTGAAGAAAATCGTAGGGGCCGCCCCATTGGGCCCCAAATTTCAATTGGGTCCCGTGGGCCCCAGGTGGGCCCGATCGAAAAATATTACATGGGTTTTTTGTTGAGGAAATTACGCTCTTTCCAATGATGTGCATATTGCCGGGGTTGGTCGCGAAATTAGGGGCAATACTTAGAAAGGGCCTCTTTGGGGCCCTCTTTGGGCCCCTTCCTTTGGATTCCCCGGTAGGTTTCTTCAGCCAGATTGAAGAGGGGGCCCAGCAGAGTGTCTGTGCCAATTTTGAAGAAAATCGTAGGGGCCACCCCATTGGGCCCCAAATTTCAATTGGGTCCCGTGGGCCCCAGGTGGGCCCCATCGAAAAATGTTACTTGGGTTTTTTGTTAGGGAAATTACGCTCTTTCCAATGATGTGCATATTGCCGGGGTTGGTCGCGAAAATAGGGGCAATACTTAGAAAGGGCCTCTTTGGGGCCCTCTTTGGGCCCCTTCCTTTGGATTCCCCGGTAGGTTTCTTCAGCCAGATTGAAGAGGGGGCCCAGCAGAGTGTCTGTGCCAATTTTGAAGAAAATCGTAGGGGCCACCCCATTGGGCCCCAAATTTCAATTGGGTCCCGTGGGCCCCAGGTGGGCCCCATCGAAAAATGTTACTTGGGTTTTTTGTTAGGGAAATTACGCTCTTTCCAATGATGTGCATATTGCCGGGGTTGGTCGCGAAAATAGGGGCAATACTTAGAAAGGGCCTCTTTGGGGCCCTCTTTGGGCCCCTTCCTTTGGATTCCCCGGTAGGTTTCTTCAGCCAGATTGAAGAGGGGGCCCAGGAGAGTGTCTGTGCCAATTTTGAAGAAAATCGTAGGGGCCACCCCATTGGGCCCAAAATTTCAATTGGGTCCCGTGGGCCCCAGGTGGGCCCCATCGAAAAATGTTACTTGGGTTTTTTGTTTGGGAAATTACGCTCTTTCCAATGATGTGCATATTGCCGGGGTTGGTCGCGAAAATAGGGGCAATACTTAGAAAGGGCCTCTTTGGGGCCCTCTTTGGGCCCCTTCCTTTGGATTCCCCGGTAGGTTACTTCAGCCAGATTGAAGAGGGGGCCCAGGAGAGTGTCTGTGCCAATTTTGAAGAAAATCGTAGGGGCCGCCCCATTGGGCCCCAAATTTCAATTGGGTCCCGTGGGCCCCAGGTGGGCCCCATCGAAAAATGTTACTTGGGTTTTTTGTTTGGGAAATTACGCTCTTTCCAATGATGTGCATATTGCCGGGGTTGGTCGCGAAATTAGGGGCAATACTTAGAAAGGGCCTCTTTGGGGCCCTCTTTGGGCCCCTTCCTTTGGATTCCCCGGTAGGTTTCTTCAGCCAGATTGAAGAGGGGGCCCAGGAGAGTGTCTGTGCCAATTTTGAAGAAAATCGTAGGGGCCGCCCCATTGGGCCCCAAATTTCAATTGGGTCCCGTGGGCCCCAAGTGGGCCCCATCGAAAAATGTTACTTGGGTTATTTGTTTGGGAAATTACGCTCTTTCCAATGATGTGCATATTGCCGGGGTTGGTCGCGAAATCAGGGGCAATACTTAGAAAGGGCCTCTTTGGGGCCCTCTTTGGGCCCCTTCCTTTGGATTCCCCGGTAGGTTTCTTCAGCCAGATTGAAGAGGGGGCCCAGGAGAGTGTCTGTGCCAATTTTGAAGAAAATCGTAGGGGCCGCCCCATTGGGCCCCAAATTTCAATTGGGTCCCGTGGGCCCCAGGTGGGCCCCATCGAAAAATGTTACTTGGGTTTTTTGTTTGGGAAATTACGCTCTTTCCAATGATGTGCATATTGCCGGGGTTGGTCGCCAAATTAGGGGCAATACTTAGAAAGGGCCTCTTTGGGGCCCTCTTTGGGCCCCTTCCTTTGGATTCCCCGGTAGGTTTCTTCAGCCAGATTGAAGAGGGGGCCCAGGAGAGTGTCTGTGCCAATTTTGAAGAAAATCGTAGGGGCCGCCCCATTGGGCCCCAAATTTCAATTGGGTCCCGTGGGCCCCAAGTGGGCCCCATCGAAAAATGTTACTTGGGTTATTTGTTTGGAAAATTACGCTCTTTCCAATGATGTGCATATTGCCGGGGTTGGTCGCGAAATTAGGGGCAATACTTAGAAAGGGCCTCTTTGGGGCCCTCTTTGGGCCCCTTCCTTTGGATTCCCCGGTAGGTTTCTTCAGCCAGATTGAAGAGGGGGCCCAGGAGAGTGTCTGTGCCAATTTTGAAGAAAATCGTAGGAGCCGCCCCATTGGGCCCCAAATTTCAATTGGGTCCCGTGGGCCCCAGGTGGGCCCCATCGAAAAATGTTACTTGGGTTTTTTGTTTGGGAAATTACGCTCTTTCCAATGATGTGCATATTGCCGGGGTTGGTCGCGAAATTAGGGGCAATACTTAGACAGGGCCTCTTTGGGGCCCTCTTTGGGCCCCTTCCTTTGGATTCCCCGGTAGGTTTCTTCAGTCAGATTGAAGAGGGGGCCCAGGAGAGTGTCTGTGCTAATTTTGAAGAAAATCGTAGGGGCCGCCCTATTGGGCCCCAAATTTCAATTGGGTCCCGTGGGCCCCAGGTGGGCCCTATCGAAAAATGTTACTTGGGTTTTTTGTTTGGGAAATTACGCTCTTTCCAATGATGTGCATATTGCCGGGGTTGGTCGCCAAATTAGGGGCAATACTTAGAAAGGGCCTCTTTGGGGTCCTCTTTGGGCCCCTTCCTTTGGATTCCCCGGTAGGTTTCTTCAGCCAGATTGAAGGGGGGGCCCAGGAGAGTGTCTGTGCCAATTTTGAAGAAAATCGTAGGGGCCGCCCCATTGGGCCCCAAATTTCAATTGGGTCCCGTGGGCCCCAAGTGGGCCCCATCGAAAAATGTTACTTGGGTTATTTGTTTGGGAAATTACGCTCTTTCCAATGATGTGCATATTGCCGGGGTTGGTCGCGAAATCAGGGGCAATACTTAGAAAGGGCCTCTTTGGGGCCCTCTTTGGGCCCCTTCCTTTGGATTCCCCGGTAGGTTTCTTCAGCCAGATTGAAGAGGGGGCCCAGGAGAGTGTCTGTGCCAATTTTGAAGAAAATCGTAGGAGCCGCCCCATTGGGCCCCAAATTTCAATTGGGTCCCGTGGGCCCCAGGTGGGCCCCATCGAAAAATGTTACTTGGGTTTTTTTGTTTGGGAAATTACGCTCTTTCCAATGATGTGCATATTGCTGGATTTTGTCGATGTTATAGTCCTGAAATTGTTGAAAACGTTTATTTATGCCCCGAGGGCATACTCCCGGGCCCATATATTTGAAGCTGTTTTGTTCGGTTCAGGGGGGCGCTAGCCCCCTAAATTTGGTACCGTTGCATGTAAAATTTTGTCCTCTTTCGAATGACGTGCATTTTTAGCTGTTTTGACGGCTAGAAGTAGGGTTTTCAAAGTTCGTCGATTGTGCCCTGAGGGCATACTGTTTTTTGGGATTTGTGGCCCCCCTGATGGATTCCCCGCATTTTGGCACTAGGATTTTCGATAGAGGACACCATTCTGCACCTCTCCACCAAAATTCAGCGAAATCGTAGGGGCCGTCGATCCCTGCTGAATCCCTGCTGAACCCCTGCTGAATCCCTGCTAACTTCCGTTACATATTACGCAAGGCCCTCGAATTACGTGTGAAATTCCTACTGAAATTTGTGATTTAGTGAGGAGGCATCATAATGCGGTAATAAAGTTTATCATGGATGAACTCGATTCCAGTAGATCTCGCCTCACTGACCCAGAGATCATCTCAGAGTTTGTGCTTCGGCTGAAACAGCAAGTTTTAGGGGATCATAACGTGAAAGCTGAAAGCCTTGGCCATTCTCGCCAGGGAAGCACTCTTCAGGGACAGTCTTCTTTCCCATTAGAGCTGCATCAAATCAGCTCTCCTGGCATCGGTCCGACTGATGGACAGGCATCTGACCAACAGGTTTCTCCACAGCTAGCTTGTTACAATGAAGCTGCAGCAGACCACTTGGAAGCACTCCAACAGCCTGAGCCACAGGTTCTCAACCCAGAGGTCCAGAGCATTGCTAACCATGAACATCCACAATCACCAAGCAGCAGTGGTGGATCCATTGACCTGTGTGCAGAGATCATGGCAGGGCATGCCCTGAAGGCTGCTTGCAGGGAACCATTGACTGCTTCTCGGACCGAGGGTGAGTTACGTCAAGCTCCACATCTCCATACCTTTTTGATAAATGCAAGAAGCAACATGCGCACTCGACTGCCAGGGAAAGTGGCTACATCCCCAGAATCAGCTGAGACACATCCTTCATACCAGGAGAAGCTGCAGTTGCGAGCTGTTGAGAGGAAAGCACGCCAGCAGGAGGTCCGCCGTCGCCGACAGGAGCGTGAGGCGGCCAATAGGGAGGCCGAACGACTACGGCATGAGGAGTTTCAGCGTCAACTCACCCTTGAGGTTAGTGCAAGAGGGTAATTCAAATTGTGTACCTCGTTGGTGCGTTGTATCCCAGTAAGATTGTCAACAGTATATTTTCATTTGAAGGCAAAGTTTCATTCATTGTGTTCAGTAATTGTGCTTGTTATACATGCTCACCACCTGGTCCGATGTGCGCGGCGGCAGCGGCAGCAGCAGCAGGAGCAGCTGCGTCAGCGGCGGCTGCGCCAGGAGGAGCAGCGGCGCCGCCAGCTGCGCGGTCAGCAGCTGCTCCAGCAGCGGCACCAGATAGCCGACGAGTTCCGGCGACACGCGCTGGTCCGACGCGTGTTCCGCGCCCTGGTCCGATACGCACAGGTAGGCATCCAGTAACGGATATCTGGGGTCGATCTGAGATAGGATTTTCTTTTCCGTTCTTTTTTGCAAAGGTACTTAACATCATATCACCATACACTATATAGCGACCAAGATACTAAAGTCATGGCTTTATTTATCTGCTGATCACCATACAATGATATGCTGTGTCTGCACAATGCCTACGACCGTTTTATTCGCTACTTGAGCTACATGAACATTACACATTCGGAGTGAACTTCTGCGCGGCTGGCTACCGTCTCGAACTCTGACGGATTCATGGTCGCGCGTTCGGCAGCGGTGCCGCGATCTGGAGGCGTCTGCCGAGCGGTGGGCGCGCTCCACTCTGCTGAGCCGCTGTCTGCACCGCTGGCGCCACCACCGGGCTCTGCTGGCTGCTGAGCGCGAGGAGGCGGCCCGGGACTGGTACCGCACCCGGCTCACCGCCTGGGCACTCGGACGCTGGCGAACGGTGAGGCTGGGGGAATCGGTGAGGGTGGGACGGTAGGATAGAAGGAAACTGCTAGACTTCGGGTTTGGGTAGTAGAGAACGGTCAGTATTGAGTCAATATCGAGTCAACTATTGACGTTCAGATAGTAAAGGGCATCTAAAGTGAACCTATTTAATATAGTGGATAAATGTGAAACTGGACGTTATAACAGCGAAAATGCTGATTTTGGGTCTGTTACATGTCCATGGTGGGCCTGCAGTTGGTAAGGCGCGTGCTCCACATTCCCCTGTCGTTTGCTTCTGTTGGCAGCAGATGTGTTTTCCCCTTCTGTTTTCAGTACGTGCACCAGCAGCATCTGAAGGCGCAGGCGGCCTCCGACCTGTGTCAGCTGCAGCGTCTACAGGCGGCTCTCCGCACGTGGCAGGCCAGCCTGGCGCTGGGACGCGTCCGGCGCCGGCAGCAGATGCAGCGCGCCGCTCTCTGTGACGTCAGGTGAGGGTCCTGACGTGAGGCGAGGACAGTCCTCTATGCGGTGAGTTTATGGCCGTCCTAGTCTGTGACGCGAATGTCGCATGCAAACCGGCCAACAGCTGTCACCGGCTGTAATGATACGCATTGTCGTCTAACTGTATTATAGCTACCGCCCTGATTTGACCGTGAGCTTGTACAAACTGTCCCCTGCTCACTCCAACCTGACCATCCCCGTCCAACCAAGCCTGATCTACCACGGTGCACAGCCTTACTTGCCCCGTGTTATCTCCACCCCAGTTTGATATATTCCTCCTATCCAACACTCTAATCTACACCCCTCTCCACCCCAGACTGACGTGTGCCGGCGTGCTGCGCCGCTGGAGGCGACTGCCGGAAGCCCTGGAGCAGGAGCGTGCCATCGAGGCCCGCAAGGAGCGGCTGCGCAGGATTGTGCGCGAGATGGTGCCCGACTTCCAGCCACCGCCGCCTACAGGCGTGGAGCAGTCTGTCTGAGACACGACTATGGTGGAGCAGTCCGGCTGAGACCGGGCTGTCGCACAGCAGTTCGTGAGTGTAACTGCGCTCTGGCAAAGTTGTCCGTCCTTGGGACAGGCTACCGAATGCCGTGTAGCAGCCCGTCTGAGCCTGAGTAACCTGAATCACAACTCGTCCGTGAATGAGACAGGAATTTTCCGTCCAAGTTCAGGCTGGTGGAGTTTGTTTCAAGCCGACTTATGGACTGGGTTTGAGTAAGAGCTGGCGATGATCTCGTTTTGTGCCGTCCCAGAGGTAGTCAGTAGTTCCAGTAGGTGTAGCGATGAGACACGCTTTTTAGTCAACGCTAATCAACAATGATGTGCTTCCTTTCATCGAGATTTCGACACCGATCAAGCATTACCGTCCATCACGCATTTCATGTTCAATTTTGTATCGCGTGAGCGCGAGGGAGATTCCTAGTCAGGGCTGTTCACGTAAATACGCTTCCTGTTCTGCTACGAGCTTCCACAGTCACTAGTCACATGCTGTTCCTTACATGTTTCATGTTCTCATTTTGTATCGTGCATTTCCGACCAACGACTCGTTCATCATGCACATCGTCGATTTTTACAGAGTTCTCTGTAATTTATCATTGAAAGTGCGGTTAATACACAACCACGTTTGTCAATTCAATATGTGTTTCCTTCTGTGCTATGGAGACGGACGGTTCTCGTCAAAGGCACGATCATCACTCCTGCCTTTGATCATCACTCCTGTTAACCATGTTATTTTATCCCCATGACTTTAACCCCGCGGGGCGCGGGAGACACCCGTACAGGGCAGTCGGGGGCAGACACCACACACACTGGATCGGTCAGTGATATATATTATCAGACTAGACTGAGTAGCGTGATAGGCGCCGCGAACACCGGGTATGGGGCAAGGAAGGGCGCCGGTCCTCGACAACAGCGGAACCCCACGACCTAGGCAGTTTACCATACCGTCTCCAGGAATAAGAACTAGCTTCTGCCTTCACGACAATCGCAGACGCCGCGCAATGCGCGTCCGGTCGGCCAATGAATTCGACCGAGAACATGGCGGGGGGGGGGGGGGGCACAGCGGCCAGTGTATGATAGGGAAGGGGGAGGCGACGGGGATGACGCACGCTGGGCAGAAATAGCTGCCCGACTGACTGTTGCCGCCGTGGGCAGGCCTGTACAAACGTACAGGCGCCGCTCCTTCCAGCAGGATGCGGCTCAGAACTGAGAGGACGGAACACAGCGGGGCGCGGCTACAACACAGGCAGGGACGGGTGCAGGTGCGGGAAGCCGCCGGCAGACATCACACTACCGCCGCCGGCCGGCCGGGTGAGAGACTACGATAAATACTTATACGACCTCACGGCAACCGTGAACACATCAAATATCCTAGCGCAAGACGCGTGTAAATATATCACCACTAAGGAATTATTGCGGCGCGCTCCACAAAGACGCCCCGCGGAATTGCAACATCATTTAAAGCGATACAATTAAAAGCCAGCTGTCTATAGACCGTTCCGCGCCGCCGTACCGTCTCGGCGTGTGCAGTACGGTACAATCCACGCCTGCTGCGGCAGCCGCCGGACCGTCGGCCGCAGGAGCCCCAGCCGAGAGATCAGCGCGCGCGGCCCCGACCCGCCTCGGCCGTCCACCCCGAGAGGAGAGAAGGCACACATCCTCGGAGAACGACACTTACCCAATGGCGCACCACCGGACACCGCCGCACCGACGATAGCGGCGACTCCGCGCTCCAAAACAGACGCGCGCCCACCGGGCCGGCCAAATCATACAACAAACACGGCTACCGACATTAAAAATAAACATCTGTGTAGAATCACAGGGCGGGTGGGTTCCCCGATAGCCCCACCTGCCGCCGCCCGTCGCGCGGTGCGTCCCGCCGTCCTGTTCAGATCTTGCAGGCGCAGTCGGGTCCGGCCGAGGTGCGCGCCGAGCCGCGGTTCAGGCGGCGCAGCGCGTGGTCGCCGTACTGGATACCGGAGCCTATCCTCTCCGGGTCCAGCTCGCCTGCCAGCGGACCGGGATGGTCACAGGACGGAAAAGGGCGCACGTTTACCGGAACGGACGCCGGGCATCACTACCGAACACCTCTAAGGCGTAACTGTAGTCACGAGTAATGACGACCGAAGAACCGGTCCGGCATTGATTTCAATTCGCACAAAATGAAGAGAAAAAAAAGTTAAAATAACAGCTCACATCCCCATCGCCATAGGCCACACAAAACAGCGACAATCTGTCAAACTCCTCAAGCTCGATGCTGCCAACTGCATTCTCATTTACAGCATACCCTGCAATACATAAATAGATCGAACCCCGAGAACCCTCAGCTTTCTCCCCGACACACAGCCACTCACCGGTCTCAATCTTGGCCAGGATGGTGTTGGAGCACTTGAGGAACGCCTCCTCGATGTGTTCTCCGGTCATCGCGCTCGTCTCCAGGAACATGAGCTCGTTCTCCTGCGCGAACCGGCTGGCCTCGAGGAAGGTCACCTCTCGCTCGGCGTCCAGGTCCTTCTTGTTGCCCACCTGCGATCCAGCCGGGCGTGCGAGTCGGTCAGGGGTGCGGGTACGTCAGAGAGTGCAGCTTACAGGCAAAGTAGACTGGGCATATGAATTTACGGATTTGTGTCCAGATTGGCAGGAGGGTATAAATTGGCTAGACGGTAGTTCGTGAGAGAAGCAAGAAGACTCAAGTCCTTAAAGCGTCAGAATGAAGAAACCGTTTACCTCCATCCACACCATCCGGTTTGCATCATCAGTATAAGTACCGCTCCCTAGCTCCTATCTAAGTGACCAATTCACGGATACAGCCTAGCGCGGTCCCCTTTGTGTGGCCAACAGCGGGACAGGGGACGCGGCCCGTACCATCAGTATGACGATGTTGGGCGACGCCAGTGAGCGGGCGTCAGTCAGCCAGGCCGACAGAGCGTTGAAGCTCTCACGACTGGTGATGTCGTAGACGAGCAGGGCGCCGGCCGCGCCGCGGTAGTAGCTGCGAGTCACCGACCTGGTAGGGTCAACACACAGCGGTTAGTCGAGGTACCAGGTACCAACCTCAGACAGGTTACCAGGACAAAATAACTCAGTTGATGCTTGGCATCCTATGAATTATTCATAATTCATAAAGATATCCTTGGCCCCTTCCCTTGTGACAACCGATCAATAATCATCAATCATGTAAATGTGATGCCATTATTACCGATTCCAGACCAAAGGTATGCGACGATACCGCTGATATCGCGCTTAGACCGGAGTTCGACCGAAATTTCAGACTCGAAGCTCAGTTGTGGGTAGGTATCAGGACAACGGGCGCTAGAGGAATGTAAAAAGGGTCACAGAGAGCCGAGAGGGACCGTTTGTTTGTTTGTTTATTGGGGCTTTAGGGCGCGCCGACTGCAAAGGTCATTTTGCGCCCATACAGGCAGGGACGGCATTAATCGGCGGACGTCGTATGGATCACCTACGGATCACCGGCTCTGCCTTTGTAAGCTGTCTTTGACCTCACCAGGGACAGGAGTCGACAAACCCCCGGTTGGTGTAACGCCGCCAGACAACCAGCTTTCGACAGCTGAGACAGAAGTCTGTCAAACCCTCTGACGTACGATCCCAGCCGCCAATGGGTGGAAGAGTGCCCTGAGACCAAGATCAGCGGGGAGTGGGGACTGAAACGAGCTACCACCAGAGGAGACTGTGGGCAGAACAAAGACCGACCTGAAGCGCTCCTGGCCGGCCGTGTCCCAGATCTGCAGCTTCACGGACTTGCCACCGACGCTGATTATCTTCGAGCCGAACTCCACGCCAATTGTGTGGTTGCTGTCTTGCTTAACTGACAAAGATGGGTTACTGTTACATCATGCACTGACAAAAATATTATTGTCATTTATATAACATCAACTTTTAGTTGCTGACAAATGTCATCCCTTCACAGACTCACGACACATGATCAAAAGACAAAAAGGCACACAAAGAGAAAAAATCAAGATTATTGGGAAATATAAAACCAAATGCCAAGGGTTGAAGCTCATTCAACAACAAATAATGAGACTACAGTACAAATTAATCAGTAACTAGCTGTGTAGACAACCTTCAAAGCCTGAAATGTTACTTCTCACATAAATTTACAACTGAGAACTGAACTACTGTTCCTAACAGTAAATTTCCCCAATGGCAGGGACTCTTAGAAGTTAGAACACATATTTCAGTAGTACTTACATTTGTTTTCAATGAACTGGTGCAAGATGCATGATTTTCCTGTACCTGCACTTCCAATCACCAAAAACTTGAAGAGGAAGTCTGCAAAGCAAAAAGTGCATAGATAAAGGCCTGAAAACCAACACCCCTGGAATACTTCATATTCACATCAAGGATGGGTCTCCTGTTTTTGCTTCACAGCCAGACAAAACACAGTTACACAACTACAGGAGTACAGAATACAGCTCATTCCTCATTTGTCACTTGCAGCCCCTGTTCAGTGTTCTCTCACAGCTAATTTGGACATAGTTGACCAAACATAGGTGAATATTACCTTTCCTACAACAGACTTAAGGTTTAATAAAATCTAAGTCATTTTGATTTGCTCAGGAACAATAATATAGGCAGAAGGATTCATGGAAACAGTCACTTACCCCTCCCCCAAAAGAAAAATGAAAAGATGCCACAAAACCAGAAGAGATAAGTGTTAACCCATGGCACATTATAAACTAGCATCTAATTGTCTTGCTTTGTCAGCCTTAAACGGTGCACTTTTCAGTGAACATTTTTAATTTAAAAATCCTGCATTTCTGGTACCAACAGCAGATGTAACCCAAACACGTCTCATCCCAGCTCACCATAGGTCTCGGACATGATGAGATGCTGCCGCTGGCAACTGGTCGTGTGGCAGAGCTGTCACACAACTGCCTTCTATTGGCAAACAAACTATTCCTTCTTGCCCTCTCTTTCCATAGAACCTGGGAACAAAAAGTATCAAACATCAAAAAACAAATCACCATTCCTTAAAATCATTTATCAAGAATTGAGGGTTGTAAATGTTGTAGAGAACCCCAAGACTTTAATTTCAGTTTTCATTAAAGTTCAATCCAACAAAACAGGCTAATATTAAAGCAAAACACATCTTTAAACCACTTTTAAAATAAGTTACATAAAATTATACTCTCATCTGATGCCTTACCCACTAAATAAAAAAATGCTATTATTCTTACCCCAGCCTCCTCCTCTCTCCCCGCTGTGTTGTGATTCTTTTAGGCTGGGCTTGTGCAAGATCGGGACTTAAAAATATAATCATAGTTAAAATGACATCATTGAAATCGGAGAAAATATCAAATAAATTTATTCTAAGTATTAGTGTTACATTTTCATAACCTTAGATAAACATGATACAAAATATTAGATATTTTAGATGTATTTCATTAATTTCGCCTTTGAAAATTTAGATATTTTGCAAAAATAAGGACAACTCAAAACATGGCAAAAATCGATTACGTCAGCAAAATAAAAACAATAATATTTAAGGGCAAAAAATGACGCACAATCTACAAGACTGGTGGCTTACGACTACTAAAATAAACGTCCGCTCTCACGAAGACCGCTCAACACAATTGGAATATGCTTATCGTGTTTTGAGATTCATGTGTTGGTGTGAGGGCTGGTTCGGCTGGTTCGGAATTTGGTATTTTTGCTTATTATGTGTAGTTTTTGTGCATTGGTTTTGCATCTGATGGTGGAATAGCGCCAGTTAGAGGGTCATGGCTCTAAACAGGGTTATATTTTATTGGTTAACTTCACACTTGATTCCGAGCGGTTACAATGCTTACTCATAATGACTTGCATTTTACCTTTGTGAGCTTACTGTCACCGACTGGCCTTCATCAGCCCAATTGGCCCCTGACTGGTTTAAAACAATGTTTTGTACATGTATGCAATTACATTTATGCTAACATTGCTAGCTCTGGGTATATTGATATCCCTGGCTGTGGTCGGTGGCCGAGTTCAGTTCAGGGTTCATGTGAATTTAGGGTTTGTGTTCATGGGGATAGTTTGACGGTATGGTATTCAATCATGCTATTTCTGCCTTTTTCTCTCTCATCAGGTTCAGGATGAGGTCTCAAGCTACAGTTTGTGGCCAGCTATTGCGACAAATAGATTTGAAGAACCATCTATTTGGTCAAGGTCTTATTAGTACGAGAACAATATCAGGAAGCCTGTCAGGCTCAAAAGGACAAAAGAAGGTTTGTATTTATCTTTTATGCCTATAGGACTACCTCTAATTTTCTGATGAACAATCCTCTTGGAGCATGTTTTCATGTTTCACCATTGCCAGAGGGCTTACTCATTTTGCCTTGTGTTTGTCTAAGTTTGTGGTGCCATTGATTATGACCTTAGTATGGTTAAGTGCATTTTACTTTTTGTATTTTTCTGTGGCAGAATGCTCGTCTGGAGGCACTGCGGGCGCAGGAAGTGGCCCCTCTTAGCGACTTCCTCACAGATAGTTTCGGCCGATTTCATGACTACCTACGAATCTCTCTGACGGAGCGCTGCAACCTGAGATGTAAGCTTTTGTAGCATTGAGTGTATGCCAGTGTGCGACCTTTGATGGCATATCCTTGATGGCATATCGGACATGCTCTCACCAACAGAGTGTGGTATGTTCAACTAAAGGCACACACCCTAATGAGATGTGAGCAGTACACTTCTCCCCCTGAGGAATGTACTGTATCCTGGAGGAAGGAATGCTGACTCTCCGCCCCGCCGTAGTTCCCATAGTATGCTGGAGCATGGCGAGCTTCTAACTCCCCTCTCCCTCCCTAGGCACCTGCTGTAAGCCGGAGGAAGGCGTCCCCTGACTCCCCCCCCCTCCCCCTCCATAGGCACCTACTGTATGCCGGAGGACGGCGTGCCTCTGACGGAGCGCTCGCACCTGCTGACTACGGACGAGGTGATCCGACTGGCCGGTCTATTTTCGGCCGCCGGTGTCACCAAGGTGCGGCTGACCGGCGGCGAGCCGCTGGTGCGCGCCGACCTCGCAGACATCATCGGTACGTGCAACATCCCTGCGGTAATTCCGCTCCACGGTGGGCTCTTCGGTACCCCTCCCCACCCCCCAATCACGATATCTCAGACACGCCCTATGGCAGCTCTATGGTAAATAGGTAGTCGTGTGTACGTGTTGGACTCTCGAAGGGTTCGGACGTGCGCGCAGATGCCCCGCTTTCTAGTTCGCCGTAACGTAATTACTTATTTTCTACGCCGTGTGATGTATATAAAAATGTTCCTATTCTAACATAGAATATTTTGGTCACATTTTCATAGTTTTTTAGTCATCGTTTTACACAGTATAAACGCCTAAATATTGTCAATTTTTGACCTAATTTCTAAAAAACGCATCGGGTCTGGAAAGGTTTTGCCCTTTGATTTTTCCATTTGTGTCTCGTGTCAACTATCAAAAGAAGATCCCGCTTTGGGAAAAGATAAGATGCATAAATGGATACTGATGATTCTGATTCACCAATCGAGGGCTTTGACCCCAGAGACGGAAATTGGGTCACCGCGTCGAGAAAGAAAAAGCCCAAGAGAAGAAGGGATCAAGCAACTAACGAAAATGCTCATCAACGACAAACAGCAATCGGACGCAGCCGCCCACCGGCCACCACCCAGCTAACTGCCTCGCTCAGCTGCCAGGCATGCAGAAGCCGGAGTTCAAGGAAGGCCGCAATCACCTGCAGCCTCTGCGGCCAGCGCTGGCACACGTCCTGCGCTAAGCTGACCATCCAACAGGCGCGAGCTCTCTCCGTGTGGCATTGTCAGCAGTGCCTTGGCCGCCCGGCTGCCACTTTGGAACCGCCCACCCAGACGTCAGAAGCCCCACTCTGCGGGATCGCGGCAGGCTTGTCGAAACTCCGCGCCAGCACGAAGGTTATCGCCCGGATTCCGAAAGCTGCGCGGTCTTTAGTCGCCGATTCCCTGTCAGAAGTGGTAGTCGTGTTGTATTGAAGTGTGTGCTCTCTGTCCTCGGGTCTCTCACCATAGTGAGCCTGCAGAAGACGGTTGCCGGCGTGAAAGAAAGCTGCCCCCTCTCTCCCCCACCGGCCCTAGCTGGCCTAAAGACGGCAACCGTTCTAAACTCTCACCGTCCCATATCTCCCCAGCGGGCCTGAAGACGGTGGCCGGTGTGAGGGCTGACCCTCCCCTCCCTCCCCTCCCCAGCGGACCTGAAGACGGTGACCTGTGTATGCTGACTCTCCCCCTCCCTCCCCTCCCCAGCGGGCCTGAAGACGGTGGCCTGTGTATGCTGACTCTCCCCCTCCCTCTCTCTCCCCAGCGGGCCTGAAGACGGTGGCCTGTGTATGCTGACTCTCCCCCTCCCTCCCCTCCCCAGCGGGCCTGAAGACGGTGACCTGTGTATGCTGACTCTCTCCCTCCCTCCCCTCCCCAGCGGGCCTGAAGACGGTGGCCGGTATCCGGTCGGTGGCCATCACCACCAACGGCGTGGTGCTGGCGCGCCGGCTGGCCGCCCTGCAGGCCGCCGGCCTGGATGCGCTTAACATCAGCCTGGACACCCTGGTGCCGGCCAAGTTTGAGCTCATCAGCCGCCGGCGCGGGTTCCACCGCGTCTGGCAGGGCATTCAGACGGCCCTGGCCGCCGGGTACGACCCGGTCAAGGTGAGGGAGAGGTGCACGGAGTTGGGAGAGGGATATTGGTCTGTGTTTATCTGTGTAGCGATATTCTGACCTGGCAGTATTTAGTCCCTACTTGACCACCTGCGAATGAGCTGTGTTATGCCTTTATTTCATCGGATTCCCGGTCTTGAACAAGCCGTTGAATTGCGTTGCGCTCATCTTTCCCGACCTCTCCTACTGAACTGTGTGTTTATCTGACTTGCCTTCTGCGACAGATGATATATGCTGACCCTACTGCCCTTCTCTGACGGATGAACATGTTGTTATGACCAGCCCCTTGCCCTCCAACAGCTCAACTGCGTCGTGATGCGTGGTGTCAACGACGAAGAGCTGGAGGATTTCGCGACCCTGGCCGAAACGTACCGACTGGACGTGCGCTTCATCGAGTACATGCCGTTCGACGGCAACCGCTGGAACGACCGCAAGATGGTGCCGTACGGAGAGATGGTGGAGCGGCTGCGGCGGCGCTGGCCGGACCTGGAGCGGATCGCCGACCGGCCCAACGACACGTCCAAGGTGGGGACAGATAGCCAAGACAGCGACACGTCTTAGGTGGATAGATAGCGACATAAGGACACGTTCAAGGTGGGGAGATAGCCGAGACGAAACCTCCAAAGTGGTGTCAGTGATGGACCCTAGGATACGTCAAGGGCGGGAAGAATGACTGAGACAAATATGACAATATTGCTCCAATTAGTATATGTAGACCGGGATAACAGTTCGTCAGAAGTGATAATAGATCGGGGTAGTGATTCGCCACAGATGGGGAATAACCAGAACGACACAGGAAAGGGTGGCCTGTCGGTAAAACCAATTTCAAAGAAGCATTTAACACATAATTGAGGAGGAGGGCACTGCCACACCCATTATCTGCTGTGCTAATCTGACCGGCCTCTGTGCCCGCTGTGTCCGCCAGGCGTACCGCGCGCCCGGCTGGGTGGGCCAGGTGGGGTTCATCACCTCCATGTCGGAGCATTTCTGCGGCACCTGTAACCGGCTGAGACTCACGGCCGACGGAAACCTCAAGGTGTGCCTGTTCGGCAACTCTGAGGTGTCGCTCAGGTCAGTCGGAGGTCAGGGCACCCTCCGCTGGGTATTCGGTGTGTGTGGGTGTATGGCTCAGGCCAGTCGGCTGCTGCTGCGGGTCGGTTGATGTCGGGTTTGTGTGTGGGTGCGAGGACATCAGGACAGTCGGCTGCTGTTAATCGTGCTGCCTAATATATGTTTTATTTGAAATATTTTTGCAAGTGTTTATTGGTGCTTAATTTGGTATGCAATATTGATGCTGACAATGGTGTTAACCCCTCTTAATTTCCGTGCACTAATTTCTGCCCTGACATGTATCGTGACCTACGTGCGTATTTTCCCATACTGACTTCAGTCCTATTTCACATTGAACCCGTGTTTCGATTTAACGGTGATGACCTCGGTTTTCACCTCATCCATTGTGCTTTATTTGGATTCAGTTTTGCTGGACTCGGCCCTGACCTCGCTCTGACCCATGTTGTGTCGTCGCCACAGGGACGCGCTGCGCCAGGGCAGCTCGGACGAGGAGCTGATGACTATCGTCGGCGCCGCCGTCGGACGGAAAAAGAAACAGCACGCAGGTAACGACACTAAGCAGCACGCAGGAATGACTGGTGGATGGCCTGACACAGGGGTAGACAGAAATTCGAGAGGAGGCACGAGCGTAAAGAACACATGACTGATGAGTAGGAGTGAGACGAACGGACTGTCGGACGGACAGACATATCTTCAGAAGGTAGACGGACTCAAGCTAAGGCGTAGACGGAAAAGAAGTGACGGACAGGGAGCAGGTGGACGGATGGGTAGTCCGCCTGTCGGTCACTATTTCTGCCGCTGCTGCTGCTGCTATTGCTACTGTTACTAGAATGATGATGGTGCACGATGCCGATGGTGGCTAATTATTGCAGTGTGACGATGTGACGATCGCTCTCCGCCCGCCGACAGGGATGCTGGACCTGGCGGCCATGAAGAACCGGCCGATGATCCTCATTGGTGGGTGATAGCGCGGTCCCGGGCCGGGTCCGCCGCTGAGCGTGAGTAGAGCGGAGACACCCTCGCCACCCGGCTAACCCGGCTGACCTATCGCTGAGCCTGCTGGCCTGTCGCTGACCCCGCTGACCCGGCTGACCTATCGCTGAGCCTGCTGGCCTGTCGCTGACCCCGCTGACCTATCGCTGACCTCGCTGAGCTCACTAGCCTACCGCTGACCCTGCTGACCTATCGCTGACCTCGCTGAGCTCACTGGCCTACCGCTGACCCTGCTGAACCTAGTAGAATGTTCCTCTGTCTTTCTCGCTAGTTTGTCTCGTCGTGAGTGTATCGCAGTCTCGCTAGCTAGTTTTCCTGCTTCCTAGTTTTTGCCTTGCACCTTTCCTCTCTCTGCATGCCTAACAATTTTGCAGCTGTCAAGCTTCAGATGTTTTGTGATATTGTTGGTGTGCATGGCTTTAGTGCTTATCGATAAAGCTGGATAGGAATGTCGGGGCTATCTGGTGTGTTGTCCTTTTTTAGTGAAATTGCCGCCTTGGTAAATGGAGGCTCAGCGTATGAGGAATCCCCCCCCTTAAAAAATTGTTCTAGCTCTACTAGATAATTTTACCAATCAACATGCTCAAATGTATTTTAGTTGGTCCCGTTTCTTTCCCCGACCTGTCTGGCCATCATAGGACGCGGTCTTTCTCTTCGCTGCGTCGTTTTTCTGACATTTTCGGTGGATAAAAGTGACACAATAGTGTGTTGGCACAGCTGATGTCTGTTTGTTTTGCTGATGGCACCTGTGTCCCGGCCCGTCTGGCTGTGTGCTGACCGTCTCTGTGTCTCTGCTCGGCAGGCGCGGGCCGCCGGGGCCGGCCGCTGCTCCGCCCGCCCGCCGCCGCCGCCCGCCGTGCCGTCGCCGTCCGACAGTACAGCGATGACGCCTCGGACCGGCCGGCGGGAACGGCAGCCGGGGAGCAGCGGCGCCGCTCGGGAGAGACGCTGCACAGTGACTACTGGGACCAGTACCGCGCCTACTACGGGGGCAGGGGCGGCGGCCCGCCCGAGCCCGCCGCCCCCGCCCCCGCCCGACCGGCGGAGCAGCCCAAGCCCACCACTGACCGCCCGCCCGCCCCCGCCCCCGCTCCGTCCGCCGGCCGGCTGACCCACACCGACTCGGCCGGCCGCGCCACCATGGTTGACGTCTCGGAGAAGCCCGTGAGTCGGCGCCGCGCCGCTGCCTCCGGCGTCGTTCTGCTCGGCCCCGAGGCGTTCGCCCTGGTGAAGGCCAACGCGGTGGCCAAGGGTGACGTGTTGTCCGTGGCGCAGCTGGCGGGTGTGATGGCCGCTAAGCGGACCGCTGAGCTGGTGCCGCTGTGCCACCCGCTGCCGCTGGGCGCCGTCCACGTTCGACTCGCGCTGTGCCCCGAGCGGCACGCCGTCGAGGTGCGCGCGGAAGTCATCTGCACGGGCCAGACGGGCGCAGAGATGGAGGCGTTGACGGCCGTCGCCGGCGCCGCGCTCACCGTCTACGATATGTGCAAGGCCGTCAGCAAGGCTATCCAGATCACGGACGTGCGGCTGGAGCACAAGTCGGGTGGCAAGAGCGGTGAGTATCGGCGCGACGACGCGTGAGCGGCTGGCTCGGGCGGACTGCGGAGGCGGAGGGGTGGGAGCAGGAGGGAGAGGGTGGATTGTGTGGCTGGTCTGGGGTGGTGTGTGTGGTACGTAGACTGTCTGATCACGTCAGTTTGATGCATCGATATTTTGATAAGTTGAGATTGTGTGATCCGTTGACGATATTCTGTCGAGTGAGCGGTATGAGGTACACGGGCGTTCCTCTCCTGCGGGTACTTGTGCCACGGTAGTGTTGGTTGGGACCAGGACGTAGTTAGCTAGTCGGAATTAGTCCAAGTGGTAAGGTGAAGGTAATTAGGTTCGGGGACGAGCTAGTCGTCAATTAGAACATGGTGCTTTGTTCTAAGCAACTTGATAGAAAAGTATTCATAAGCGAAGAATCGTAACGTTGTCTAGTCTAGTCTATTAGACCACAAAAGTATTACTGTTAAGTATTAAAACAGTAGCTCTAAAACATATGTGTATTGTCATAATTGCAGTTGTGCAATCTGCGCATAAATCTATGTTCGTCCAGCGGAGAACGTAGGACGGTACAGTACATTTTTGTCCACTAGAAGTATGACTATTTTTAGATGGAGGCATACTGATGCCTTTGTATACCTGGCGTGCTGAGGAATCAGGTATATCGACACCTTTTTTTAAACCCCACATCTGTTCTCCGGTGAATTTCCGGGAAGCACGAAAGATCTCTTTTTAGAAGTGTCCAATCGTCCGATCCTGATCAAATTTGTGTGTTCGTAAGCTTGCTCTGGCATTGCTTGATCTGCCAAGACAGACAAACTTGAGAAAATCGAGTGACTGTACCTTTTTTTGAAGGTTTCTAAACAACTTGTCCGAACTTCATGGGAGAACAAATGTGGGGTTAAAAAAAAGGTGTCGATATATGGTGGAGGTTAGCAGCAGTGATTCATTTTTGTCCTTGTTGACTTCTGTCACGATACACGTCAGGGTCAATCACTTTCGACGGCGAATTTTGACGTCGGGTTTTATTGGTCAGTGCTGTTCTTGCGACGTTTTGAATGAGCGTCGTTCCGGCCTTTGGATGCATATTATGCATGTAAATGATGATATTTTCTTACGATTACATATCGAGCATCCTACAACAATCGATTTGTTTCAGCGGGGATGAAATGTGTGTTTGAAGTAAGGTTTTTACCCCATCTATTTGTGCGGGTTATCCTGTGATGAGCAATAATTGTGATGGATGAAGTTATCCATTGTTTATAGCATTGCTGATAATTGTGATGAAGAAGGGTGCAGTTTGAGGTACTAATATACGGTAAACAATGGGCAGCTTTCCGTTTTATGTGTAAGACCTATGGGAAAAGCGAAGGGTGAGTGTTTTCCGATATCTCAAACAAATCCCTAAGGGTTTCCCCGCTGCTCGTTGACGATAGTGTCGCGGTCAGTTCAAAGGTCAGCCGCCTCGTGCACTGTGCAGGCTATCTGTGCAGACTTGTCGATTGGGTTTATCGGTGTGACTGCTCACAGTGCTCAGCCAGTCTGTGTTGGTTGCCGGCGGTGTGAGCTAGTGACGACGCCGGGCTGAAGGGATCAGCGGGCTGTGCAACGATCAGGGTAAGTTTGTCGCACTAGCCGACATCTGACTGGACTTTTGTTCTGATGGTACGTTGTATGCGTTATTGTCATGCATATCGTTGATAACTAGTTGAAGCGAAGGACATACTAAGTTCTTATGGGTGTTTTTGCTAGAGCTGACACGGCACTGAGGTACTGAACTGCCCTGTTCATGTTTGCGCGACCCGGAGTATTGGAACCTTTTATATTATAAGTCTGAGTATGATGAGTATGATAAGCGTTACGAAGTCTGTGAAACCGTCACCTCTAATCCTGACGATTTTCCAGGGACCTGATGAGTTAACATGCATGAGCGCCCCTCGGCCGACTGTAGACTCGGAGCGCGCCGAAACAGGGAAGTTCGGGAGGAGCATCGCGCGCAGGAATGCCGTGAAGAGGTGCCCCCTGCGCCAGCGGGCCGCCCCCGCCCGGTCGGCCGACAGTTCCAGGGTGACTTGGCACGGGTCTGAAGCGGGTGCACCACCGCCGGCTGGGCGGCTGCGGGATCGACATTCGTCGTACGTCTCAGGTGGGTGGGCTCTGCCCGGATGCCGGAATATATACCGAAAGGGATGTAAATGCTTTAGTTTATCTGTACAGAAAACCGTTTTAGATGAACATTCAAGATATCACTGTCAGATGGGTATCTACCGTTATTTATGTTTACGCTATAAATTCTGATTCTGGCTAATCACGCGGTCTGTCGTAGCGGTGTGCAATCAACCTTTGTGCTACTCGAGTGCGAGTCGCCTGGCCATTGAACTGAAACTCTCGTAAAACACTTTGTGCACGTTATCTACGAGAGGTATCGTTTAAGTACTGCATTTAAAGTAAGCTGATTACATGCACGATATCTTGATTCCTATAGAGCACAAGTACACGATGCTTACGAATACATAGATCGCCCCATCGCCCCACTTTGTACTTTGCAGTACGTTCTCAGATTCATGGAATCATGGGATCCCCTTATCCCGCTTTGCGCAATAACTCCCGTCTCGCTCTATTCTAAATGCTTCAGACTCAGACGATGACGCCTTCGATGACGCCGAGGCGGCGCTGCTAAACCACTACCTGGCGTCATCGAGGGGCTCTGCGGCGGCGGAGGTGTCGCGGCGGCCAGTCTCCACACTCGGACATGTTCAGAAGTCTCCGGCTCGGACCTCTGCTGTCCCGCCCGGCAAGGTGCAGAAGGTACTTATCTCTGAGCGGAATCCGGAGAACACTTCAGCAACCGATCAGGGTGAGTAGCACGGCCATCTTCTGTGTGTCAAACTGGATATGAAATGGTCATGCGATATGGTCCCTCTTTGTTTTTTGCAATACACTCAACACTATATGTGTAGTAGATATGCATCACGGTTCTCCGCCAATAGGCTGCCTGTCCAGTGTCCACCCACCTTGACAACCATTTTACACGATTTCCCACGATCCGTCCATTCAGGGCAATGCCCGTCCGAGACAACCGACCATTCAACCCGGGGTGGCGACTGGACTACCGATGATACAACTGCCGCACCCTGCAGTGGGCTGACCGGGTCTGTGCCACACGTCGTCCCAGTTGGACTCAGCACGGCGACAGGGACGGACCCACCTCGTTTTACGCCATCTGGGTCGTCGGCTGCCACTGGGACGAATCCACCTCGATCTGCGCCGTTTGGTCTCCCCGCTGATACGACTGCGGAGACGGAACTGGACCCACCCCGCGCTGCACCCTCTGGTTCGGCCTATGGGGCCTTTACCGCTCCACCCCGCGATACGCCCTCTGTCTCGGCCTCAGGGACCTTTACCGCTCATTCCCGCCCTGCGCTGGCTGCCGTCTCCGAGAAGGTAATCACCGAGACGTATGTCGGCAACGGCATCACCTACACCAAGCAGACCAGCGTCACCTGCTACCTGACCTGTGAGACAGCGCCGGAGGAGGGCAGCGGACCCCAGGGGCCGGCCAGGAAGTGCCACTCCCTTCCCGCCGCGAGGGGAGGCCGGTGACGGGACGATAGCCGCTCGACACTACCCTTAGGTGACTGGTGACTAGGAGTTCGGTGACACGAAACTGTTGACGCTGTCTGATGATCGGTGCTGATTGCTTTATGCCCAGTGGCGAGTGGTGACTGCGCGCCTGGCTAGTGACCTATGGGGTGAGTACAGGGCGGAACCGTCCTTTCTCCTGAGTTTCGAACGCCGCCGGCCGTCGCTTCACGAAAGTATGGCCACTTAGCACTTCTCTACTCGGTCTAAGACGAATGACTTTGTTCGTTGTCAGACTTGGGCTATTATGGTACCTACCTACTGTCAAGACAATTGTACATGTTTTGATGATAAATACAGTGAATATCCTTGCTGTTCTAATGTAATTTACTTAACATGCTTGCGTAAACTATCTTTAGTAACGCACTGGCGACTCTCACGCTTTCCTATACCACAGCCTATAATCCATTGTACCAACCGAGTTTTATTCCATCTCAATGAAAAAAAAAAAGTTTTTTGTCCATCATCGAATATTGCACTATTTCAACTCGTCCAGTAGGTCTTGGGAGATAGCGCTCGCTGCAAGGGTTTGGCATGCGACCATGTCTGTTTCGCGCTCATTCCCATGACCCATACCTTTAGCCTTTTCGATTCGCCATCCATTCGAGCAGACCAAGAGATATATATCAAATGTTCACACCCGTCAGCAGTCCATTGAGTATGCGAGCTGAGTCATAATGTTTCCGTTTTTCTGCAAGGATGCGGTTCACGGACACATTTCGGCACACATTTACTGCGTTTTGTGACAGCTGAAGTTTGAAAGACGGCATTCGTCACACAAGACCGGACCTCAGACAGCACTCGCCACACTGAGACAGCACTCACCACATTGACCAGATGGCAGGCGGCACTACACTGAGACAGCACTCACCACATTGACCAGATGGCAGGCGGCACTACACTGAGACAGCACTCACCACATTGACCAGATGGCAGGCGGCACTACACTGAGACAGCACTCACCACATTGACCAGATGGCAGGCGGCACTACACTGAGACAGCACTCACCACATTGACTGAACCTCAGACAGCACTCACCACACTGCCGGACCGGACCTCAAACGGCACTCACCACATTGACTGGACCGGACCTCAGACAGCACTCACCACACTGCCGGACCGGACCTCAGAAGACACTCGCCACTACGCCGGCCTCAGACATCCCCAGGCCGGCTCTCAGTTGGTCGCTGGGCCGGCCCTCAGGTGGTCGCTGACGCCGCCACCGGTCCGCCGGTGACGTACTGACGCAGCTGCCAGGCGTTAGGCACTGAGCGGCGGATTCTCTCGTACTCGGCACCCGTGGCCGGGTCGCTCCAGAACCGCCGGTGGTCATGTCTCCAGTCCCTGGCCAGCCGCTCGGCGGCGGCCTCTGTCAGGTCCAGCGCGCGCCGCAGCCTGCCGGCCAGGTCGCTGTGGTAGTCTGCCGTGGCCTCCTGTCGCGCCTCGGCGAGCGATATCAGTGGCTTGGGCACCACGCTGCGCTGACTGAGCCGCTGCTGCTCCGAGGACCTTAGCAGTACCGCCACGAACTCTGGGGCGCAGGCGCGGAGGGCGCGCTCCATCAGCGGCCCGTTCAGCAACAGGTCGGCGCGGCCGCGCGGCGTGTTCAGCTCGGCGGTGAGCGTGCCGTGGTGCCGACACCAGGCGGCCACGGCGGCCGGCCGGCGTACCAGCATCGCCCACTGGTCGTCAGTGAGTAGCGCCACCAGCGGCGCCGCGTCCCAGCGGAGCCCGCCGGCGCCGTCCGCACTCAGCCGCGCCCGACCGGCCACCTCCGGCGGCGCCACGAGCAGCGCGCGCAGCAGCAGCAGCTGCGGCCCGACCAGCGCCGCCGCCAGCCAGCACATACGCCGCAGCTCAGGCGCGGCCGCCGCGCGCACCAGCACTGGCACCGTCACCTGAATACTGTCCTGGTTCTGGATGAGACCGGTGCCGAACGACGCCATCAGGATGACGGCCTCGAGGACCAGGGCGCGTGCCAGACAGGTGCGCAGCTGGTGCTCTGAGAGTGGCTGGCCAGCAGCGACCAGCACCGGGCCCAGTGTGCGCATGTGCAGCTGGGCGCAGGCGGCCAGCAGAAGCCGGGGCAGCTCCCGGCGCAGCAGGCTGAGCGTGCCGAGCATCCCCTCGCGCTCCTCGGCCGTGGTGCGACCCAGCAGGTTGATCTCCGCCCAGAAGAAGCTCGGCAGCCGGCCGGCGGTCACTGCCTCCTCCAGGAAGTCGAGGATGTCGCGCGCGCCCTGCGTTGGACTGGCCCAGCCGCTGGCGGGCCGCTCCTGGCACAGCCAGTACAGCGCTGTCTTCATGTAGTACGACTTGACGCCCTTGCCGTGTGGCCCCAGGCGCGCCTTGCACGCCTTCAGGGCGATCAGGGAGCAGCGCTGCTGCTCAGTCAGGTGCCAGGCGGCCACTACCTCGGCCCGAGAGAAGGAAAGCCGCCACTCGGAGAGCTCGGTGGAGCTGCCGGCACACCCGGTAGGCACCAGGTGCACGCCGAACTGCTGGATCTCGCGCCGGACGGCCGCCGGCGGCCAGTCGCGGGTGCGGCGGCGCGTCACGAACTCTGCGGCCGGCCACCAGGGCGCGCGCAGACAGGGCACCAGGTCGTCGTCGTTGGATCCGGCCAGCCGCGGCCTGCTGTTGGAGGTGAGCGCCGTGGCCGGTCCGCTGGCGCCCAGAGTGTCCCCCGGCCGGCGGCGCACCTCGGCTGAGAGCTGCAGCAGCCGCCGGATGTCAGCGGCGCTCAGCGGTAGCGGCTCGGTGTGCCTACACTCCTCCAGCGGCTCCTGCAGCAGCCGCACGAAGCCGGCGTTCGCGGTTGGCACCGCCCGCAGTCTCGGCCCCGTCTGCTCGGCGCCGTCAGCCGCCCACTGCACCGGTCCCAGCTCGAACATGGTGTCGAAGTCAGAGTCGAGCCGCAGTGTGGCCTCCACGTCACCGAAGCCCTCCATCTGACTGCCCGAGAGCACGGCACTCAGCACGCGCAGCCGGCCGAGCGGCGAGCAGCTGCAGCTGGCAGCTCTCAGCTGCAGCAGCTGCAGCAGCGGCCGGTCCCAGAGGCGGCGCCCCAGCTGCACCTGCTCCACGGTCACCTGACGCGTCCATTTCACCGCCGGGTGGAAATGGTGCGCCTTGGAGAGCACGCAGTCGATGAGGATGTCGGCGCGCTCCCCGCACTTGGCCAGCAGTTGATCGGCAATAGCCTCCGGAGTCTGTCGCGCCCCACCGGCCGCCATCGCAGCGGCTAACTCAGCTCACCGGCCGTCAAAATATTCACACCGGGTCTCTCATCTCCGTCATCGCGCCGCGCGGGTCCACCCGTCACTCCGGCTCATCTGTGCAGCTGTTCGGTCTGGTAAGGCAGGATATCGGAGTCGATAGGTCGACCGTCCGCCGTCCGCCGCTGCGTCACGCACTGCGCCGCCGCCCCCGACCGCCGTGTTTTGAGTTTTCACTGCGGCGGGCTCCAGCCACGTCCCAGCGCCGGCCGGAGCGGAGCACGGAGCCCGGCGACCGCTGGGGTCGCCGACCGGCTCGTGACGTCACTGGCCTGGCCCACGTGATGGTCGGAACTGCTGGAGGGCAGAGGTGGCGCAACCGGTAATAACCGGTAATGCGCAGCGTGTACTAGCAGCGTGCTGCTATCATGCGTGAAACACCACCCCGGCCATACCGGTGATAATGATGACTAATGACTATACTCTGAAGTCTGAACCTACGTCTCATAGGGGTGAAGGGGGGGGGGGGGTGTAGCGAGGACATTACACTTCTCCCTGCATGGACACGTGGTCGCTTAGGTTGTACTCAGTTCCAAATCAAGAGCTAAGTCATTCATTTAGATGTTATATCGTAAGCGCATGTGCAACCATAATCAGTGACAATGTGTATTGCTTCTCTCTTTAGCAGCGGTACCGTGTTGAAACAACATTGTGAAGGAAGGAGGCGGTATGAAATACGATATCATGACGCAGTGACTACAAACAAAACCGAAGTTGAACTATTTTAGCATAATCACCAAACAAGACCTTTATCTGCACCTAAACGTTGTAACATTTATTCATATTACGATAAACATTTCACGGTACAACAGCTGAGATCTAGTTTTGTGCGAGGTACTGATGACGCAAACGAAACGATGCATGAGTTAACATCTTGACATCCCAGAGACGTTGAGACTCGACACTTTGAGTCCAATGTTAGTGCCGAGTACCGATTTAAATGCCTATTGCCTTCCAATATTAGGGGACATACTTCAGACATAGATTCGGCCAGCTTTTAGAACGGTTCTTACGACGGCCAGGAGTTTAGATCGACTTCCAGCATCATGGAAAGTGTCAACACTCGCCATCAGTGACAGTGGTGGTGTAAATACATCAGTGGTTGGCGTCACATCAGTGTCCACTGTCAGTAGTGCTGCCACAACAGACACATATTTTGGTGTGGCAAAAATGACTAAAGAGCACTGACTCTCTGTGCCTCTGGTAGTTAGCACCGACACTCACTATCAGGTATTACGACAGTGTCGACTCTCAGTGTCAGCGGCCGTGCCAGCGGCGCACTGTGTGCGGGTGCGCCCATCGGCCCGCCTCCGCCGCCTTCCCGCGGCGGCGCTTCTCCGTCTCCTCCCGCTGCCGACCGGGCCCGATCCTGACCAGCCTCTCCAGCAGGAACACCAGCAGTGCCAGCAGCGTGCCCATCAGGTAGAGGATCAGCGAGGAGACGATGTCCTCCAGCACCAGCGGCTTGGTGGTGACGTCCGTGAAGATGGCCCCGGTGCTGCAGTTGGACGGCTTGGGCCAGTATTCGGAGCGCCACCTACTGAACAGGCCCGACTCGGACATACGCAGGAACCTGCGGCGGCGACATGGCAGGACGGCGTCATAGTGATGTCAAGGGTCAGTCACAATGACGTTACAATGCACGGTTACGCTATAATTGCGCCATGTTACGTAACTGTCATGCCACGGGTCGCGTCACGGCGATGTCATGATCAAACCATGGTAGCGTAATGGCCACATCACCTAGGGAGACAGATTCAATTAATATCGAACCCGGCGGTAGTTGGGGTAAGATATTGGCGTTAGACAACAAATATGTAACACAAGACATGAACAGGAGCCCAACGAGTTTTAAATCCCTGACAGGCTAGTTCATTCATTCACTCGTTCATTCATTCACTCGTTCATTCATTCATTTTTCCATTCATTCATTTACTCATTCTTTTATCCAGTTTTCTATCTTCCTATGTGGGCAATCCATTGCAGTCCCTGGCGGTCTCACTTTCAGACTGATGATTTTTAACCCATTTTTAGTTATAGCGATATTCTGGACATGAGCTACCTATAATTGAAGGAATTTCGGATACATGGGCTACTGGCTCACTCCCAGTTGAAAAGGTTCCGGTTACGTACGACCACTGATCACTCACTCCCAGTTGAAGAGGTCCCGCACGGGACTGCCAGTCTCCAGTATCCAGCCGAAGCCGGCCGTGAAAAACTCCTCGCGGGCGATCTTGAGCCGACACTGGCGAGTCGTACGAAAGTCGTCGTCTAGCACAAAGTCCAAGTACGACTTCTCCTGCGATGGCAAAAAAGTTATTTTATTTAGTTATTTTATTGGTAATTAAGTACCAACAATCTGCCGACTTCATTTAGAAACAAAATTACCGAACGGGCTCATTGAGCCACCCTCCACTCTACATACGTGCCATCCTAGGTTAAAACGATAACGCCCAGTGACCTACTACCCATTAGGTATTTGAGCTCAGCGTGTGTCTTAGCCCGTCACCAAACTGTTCCTGACCATCCACATCGCTTCCGTTCCGTCTCCTGACTCGGTCTACCCGAGAAAACTCGACCTAGCCCCCTTTGACATTTTCCCGCCCAGACGTAGTTGTATTTACCCAGACCCGGGCCCAGTTTTCTCCCCTGATGTCTGCTCCCCGCCGGTGCCTGACCTTGATGTAGGCGTAGCGTCCGCTGAGCACGCCGGCTATGCCCTCGTCATCCGATGCCACCCGGCTGCTCGGGTCCGCGCCGATCTTCCTGTATATCTCCGACTGTGACGTCTGTCAGACGCAGAAATGATGAGGTGAAACAACAATACGACGCATATACCTATATATCTGACTCTGACCAAGACAGAAGATAGAGAAATGTTACCTGCCTTTTTCCTAGTATGCAATGCGATACATCGCATCGTTCTTCAAAAATTGACATCAGACCCGTGAAAAACTCCCGGAACTCTCATAAATTACCAAAGAATTTCTCTCTCTTCATGACCAGTGATCGCTCACTCACTCACTCAATCAATCACTCACTCACTCACTCACTCACTCATTCATTCACTCACTCACTCACTCACTCACTCACTCACTCACTCACTCACTCACTCACTCCCTCCCTCCCTACCTCCCTCACTCACACTGAACAGACTGTCGTGCGCCGTGTCTCGTCGGAACCGCCAGCGCAGTTCCGTCTGGGACGTCAGGTCCTCCAGCGAGTTGATCTTGTCCGTCACCGTGGGCACAGTGAGGAAGGCGATCAGCGTGCCTGTGGCGCAGAACTGCAGTCAGCTGGGATCTTAGGGTGCCCGGCCTCCAGGGGTCATCGGCTGGTGTCGTCAGCCGGTGTTCATAGCACCGGAGAAATAACTGCCCGCCCATAAAGGACCGTCAGTTGTTAGTATGTGTGCTGCATGGTGCGCACTGCGCAGTGATATACCCGCTTGTTGTATTGAGACTGCCACCCGTCTACGGTCTACGCACAAGGCTATCTCTCAGGTAATCACGAGCCCATGGTCACATAGTTAGCCGTGTGAGCAGTCAGGCGACTTACCTGTGTAGCTGGCGATAATGGTGATGGCCATGAGCCACCAGACGCCCAGCAGGACCCGTGAGGACGTGTTGGTCGGTATCACCTGTCCGCCTGCGGTCATAGATAACACCACGGTCAGGGCAGAGACAGGTCAGGGCGGAAACAGGACGTGTTGGTCCGGCACTCCGTATCACCTGTCACGCCTGCGATCCAAGGTAACACGGCCGTCAGGGCAGAGACAGGTTAGGGCGGAGACAGGACTTGTTGGTGCGGGTCGGTATCGTCTGCCCGCTTGCAGTCCAGCAGGCAGCACACAAACACTGCTAGCGCAGCGACAAATAGCGGTTAGACAAGCCAGAGGCTAGAGCTTCGCCAGCTTTTCATTACTTTTTATGTCCACCGATTAGTTGGGTACCTATAACCATAGTGTAATAAATAACAAGTGAAGACACTTCACCAATTTATAATGCAAACTCGTGTAACAACTTTTCTTCAGCTGGGAGTGGGCTATGTAGCTACTCACGCTGTAGTATGACGTAATAAAACGTCATAAAACGTCACTTCCTAAATCATTGAACGCTATCCTCAGCCTATATCATCGTCTTCCATGCCCCGTCATAATGGATTTTTTAGTTGACTTAGACATGACAACCCACGTTTTTTATTACACTAAATGAAGGTAAATAATCCCAGTTTCTTACAGAATGGCTTGGTACACACAAAATCAGAGGACATCGATGTGCCACAGCCCACAGCCCGATGAAAGTCCTACTCGATCCTGCGCTCCAACATGCTGAACATCGTATCAGTATTCACTCTATTCCGTAACGTTACTCTCGAGAACCCACTGTTTTTATTGCATGTATGGTCGCTTACTGAATGCAATGTGACAGAACCGGTATGAAAATATTCAAAAACAGAGGACATCATAAGACCACCGTCTCCTGAAAGTGTAGGGTATTTTGGCAACGTCCCTAAAACATGACCCATTTTGATCGGACCTTTTACTGTCATAGACTCGAGAACCCATGTTTTTTATCGCATTTAATGAAAGAAAATAATCGTATTTTCTTATAAAATGCGTGGAAATATTCAAAATCAGAGGACATCGATGTAACATAGCCCGATGAAAGTCCTACTCGATCAAACTGCGCTCCAACATGATGAACATCGTATCAGCATTCAGTCTATTCCGTAACGTTACTCTCGAGAACCCACTGTTTTTATTGCATGTATGGTCGCTTACTGAATGCAATGTGACAGAACCGGTATAAAAATATTCAAAAACAGAGGACATCATAAGACCGCCGGCTCCTAAAAGTGTAGGGTATTTTGACAACGTCCTTAAAACATGACCCATTTTGATCGGACCTTTGACTGACATAGACTCGAGAACCCATGTTTTTTTATTGCATTTATTGAAAGAAAATAATCGTATTTCCTTATAAAATGCGTGAAAATATTTAAAATCAGAGGACATCGATGTGACATAGGCCGATGAAAGTCCTACTCGATCTAACTGCGCTCCAACATGCTGAACATCGTATCAGCATGCAGTCTATTCCGTAACGTTACTCTCGAGAACCCACTGTTTTTATTGCATGTATGGTCGCTTACTGAATGCAATGTGACAGAACCGGTATGAAAATATTCAAAAACAGAGGACATCATAAGACCACCGGCTCCTAAAAGTGTAGGGTATTTTGACAACGTCCCTAAAACATGACCCATTTTGATCGGACCTTTGACTGACATAGACTCGAGAACCCATGTTTTTTATTGCATTTATTGAAAGAAAATAATCGTATTTCCTTATCAAATGCGTGAAAATTTTTAAAATCAGAGGACATCGATGTGACATAGCCCGATGAAAGTCCTACTCGATCTAACTGCGCTCCAACATGATGAACATCGTACCTATCAGCATGCAGTCTATTCTGTACCGTTAGGGTGACCCTTTTTGCAACTTTTTTTTAGAAGTTAGCCAGCACGCCCCTAGATCGACGTGGCTTGATGCCCTGAGTACGAAAATACCATTTTTGACCAGAAATTTTGAATTTGGAAGCCCGCCCCAAAATTTAAAGATGGGAAAATGAGCATATTTTTGCGATTCTGGCACTTTCGGTGCAGGTATTCGATAGTTGCTATTTAAAAAGCATAGTGAAATGGCATAATATAAGTTACGACACTAATTTTGCGCCGGCATGGCAAGTTTCAGACATCTACACCCGTTTTACCGCTTTTTATCGCTGTTTTTTTCCGACGAGAGTCAGCCGCCCGCAGCTCCCGAGTTTCATAGATCTGTCCATAGATGGCAGCACAATGGGCTTCACGTCTCGGCTTTGGGGAAGGTTTTCAGAGTGTCTTTTAGTGTTGTTTCCATTCCAGTATGAAGGAACTGGCATGTTTTTATGTTTTTGTCGCCATTAGCCCTATATTTGATCACATTTGTAATATATTCCAGCTTGAAAACTACACAATTCAGCGAAAAATCGCATTTAACTCGCGGTTGTTTCCAGTAACGTGTCTAACGGCAAATGAAAGCTGTCTGACCATGGGCTCTGGAACCTTTGGGACCTAGGAAATGGAACATGAGAGCACTGGGGCACCGTGTCCGCTTTAACTATGACAATAAACACTAATTATCCCATGGACGTTGCCAGGAAAGTGTGATAGTTTGCAGCGTCTCTAGGCCATTTAACGGCGCTGTGCAGCCTGAAAAAGACAATTGTCTACAAATGAGATTTGTATTGCACGAGTTACCGCACTGTGTGCCCATAACATACTTCACATAAAATACGACGGACGCACAGCGCCAGACAAGCAGCACTCATCACAGCGGGACGACGGAAAACACAGCATTGTATGTACAAGGTCTTTGCGCAGTAAATAAGTTTCTTATCGTCCGTGCCTGGCTTTTCCTGTCGCCCCGATCGGCGCGCCCGACTCCCGGTCTGCTGCTGAATTTGGTGCATTCAGCTCTCCGAGCTGTCTATCCCTCCTTCTCTGCTGTGGTTTTGACTGGGCGGTACTTCTTCTTCACCACCTGTCCTGGGTTTCGCCTCCTCCACGCCAGCTTGTTTAGCGCATGGCCGTCCTGTCGCCGAGCCCCTCTGACCTGCCCGGCCGCCTCCGTCGTCACTTTGACGGCTCGCTCCGTGGACTGCGTATGGCACGGCAGTCCGGTCAGGAGCGGGGTCTCCAAAAACTTCTCCAACTGGTCTCCGGTCATCCCTTGGCGCCATGGCGAAGCTGTGTCAGCGACTGCCGCCCTTTATGAGATTGACCCATTACGTGCGAGCGGCGCCTCGGGCGCTGACATGTGACCTAGAGCTGCTGGATTTATTTATGACGAACCGCAATTTTCTAAATCTGAACAAAGCATCTACCTTGCTAGTAGCAATGTCCCTCGTAACAGACTGAGTGCTCCCGCAAGTGGTTGAAAGAGAATAACATGCATACCTATAACAGTTGTTATACATACTATATAGATTGAATGGTGTGAAACGTTTTTTTGAGCATGATTATGATTATAATGGAAATCAGATGGATTAGTAACCTTTTGCTCATAACTAATGTAAGCCAAAAACAAATCCAAACAAATTGAAACAAACAAAAACAAATTGGATTTGTTTTTGGCTTACATTAGTTATGAGCAAAAGGTTACTAATCCATCTGATTTCCATACTATATAGGATAAAATATAAGACTAATGGAGACAAAAACATAAAAATATGAATTTTTAATGCGGATATGGAAATGACAATAAAAGACACACTGAGAGCCCTCCATAAAGCCGGTACTCAAAATCCACACACTTTAAAACATGTTATTGAGCGTAAAAACGCATCATCGTTTTTCGGGCACGCGTGTTTTTCATGCTTCAGTATGCATGCAAGGTGAAATGAATGTGATGGAAATGTGGTAAACATCGAAATGTACAAGTTTCCTTCTGCTGAAGAGGAAATAATAATACAAACCACGTCGAGAGCCAATCACAGGCGTCCCGTCCATGGTACGAATGTGCAGCCATCTACTGACCGGTTCTGAAAGCTCGAGCTAAACGGGCGGCCGAAGCTCATCGGAAAATCTTCGATAAAAACTGGTAAAATGGGAGTAGAGGTATGAAACTTACCATGCCGGCGCAGAATTAGTGTGGTAACTTATATTATGCCATTTCACTATGCTCTTTAAATAGAAACTATTGAATAGCTGCACCGAAAATGTGAGAATCGCCAAAAACAGGCTCATTTTCCCATCTTTAAATTTTGGGGCGGGCTTTCAAATTCAAAAATTCTGGTCAAAAATGGTATTTTCGTGCTCAGGGCATCAAGCCACGTCGATCTAGGGGCGTGCTGGCTAGCTTCTCAAAAAAAAGTTGCAAAAAGGGTCACCCTACTGTACCGTTACTCTCGAGAACCCACTGTTTTTATTGCATGTATGGTCGCTTACTGAATGCAATGTGACAGAACCGGTATGAAAATATTCAAAAATAGAGGACACCATAACAGTCCCGGCCCCTACTATGCATTTCAGACCAGGGCCTCGTCTAAGGAATTTTCACTGGGGGGGCCAGAGCCTGAAGGAGCCAAACTTAGGGTACCCCCAAATCCTGTTTTCTCACCGGATTTAGACCACTTATTTTCATCTTAGCCCTGACACCATTTTTTTTTTTGAAAACTAAAGAAAAAATAATAGGCCATCCGACCCATGCTTTTATATTAGTTTGTAGCCTCGCCTCCTCACATTGCCCCATCAGACAGTAATAATTACACTTATCGGTGTTGAGCGTTTGTTTGAGTGGCAGTGCCAGGTCTAAGGAATTTGCATGCCGAGCTTTATGTCGGGGGCCCACACGCTGATAGACTGAGCGCTTGACTCTGGGCTCTGCCGAGCTCTGAGGGCTAATACCAGCTTCTGGACCCACGCCGGCCTCTATGGTAGCCCACACTGGTTTATATGATCCATACCAGGCTTTAAGGGTCAATCTGAGTTGAGACAGTATTTTCCCACTAGGGCCCCCTCAGTCTAGTGTAATGCCTATGCATCAACTTGGAGACTGATGGCTTCTCAGGTGGATTCTCCGTAATCGCCGTGGATCTCCGACACAA